CAGTGATGATTACTATCTGTACCATATAATTTTTTCAATGTATTATTATAGCGATTTTTCACTTACGGTCTCTTTTCTTTATGGTGCGTCTGTGTACGTCACCGCTTCAGGAAAGCATTTCCGACCCCACATTGCTATATGATTTCGAGTCGTCAGGATGCCTCGCTTAACTGAAACGCTTAACTGAGACACCCTGTATATATATATATAGATAGATAGATAGATAGATAGATAGATATACCATTCTAATCACATCTACTGTATCGTTGGCGTTCTATAATCACCGCTCTCAACACATATTTTTAGAATCCTTCGAATATTTGTGAATATTAGGTGTTGCAAAATTAATATCAAAAACGTCATAGAAAATCAAAAATGTCATCGAAATCTGACTACTTGATTAATGAAGATGGGATTAAAAAGAACCGAATAAGTTTGAATGTTGGAGGACACACATTAGAGTTAAAAAATAATTATTAGAAATATCTCCAAATTATATCTAATGATCAGACTGTTAATCGATAATTTTTTTAGTTGCCTTCTTCAATGGTTATTCGTCAGAATTTAGCGCTTTTGTTTTCACTTCGTTTAATATTAATTTTTAAGGCCTTTGCATGTATAATTTTTTGAATAAATGTTAGGATAAGAATTTTTAAAATATGCATTTAAAAGTTCATTATGGAACACTCTTAGATACAGATATTTTGACGTGATGCCTTATTATATTATATAATTGATAAAGAGGCTATTCATTTCTTCCTATTCACATTTAAGTATGCCTTGTTTCAGAAATTCCTCAGAGAAATACACATTTCAAAAAATATTTCAAAAAAAAGAAAAAGTTTCAATTGACAAAATATGATACTGCTATTTCCTTAGTCAATAAAAATACATTGTTTTAAATATTTTTTTCCAATTGAAGTTCATCAAAAAATCTCTGTGCCTTTTTATAAGTCTTATTTGCTTGCATTGCAACAAAGCTTCTAATACCTTGTTAAGCAAGCCAAAGACATTTGGAAATATCCTTACCACTTCCTTCACAGTGTCATATCTGTAACTTATGAAAACAAATTTGATTTTAGGTGAAAAGTTTCATATTTCCCTACCTATTTCCAATACATAAAAATTTCTGTTTTCTGCTCACCGGTATTATATTTCACACATCTAACGTTTCCATAACGATTTTAAGTCAACTTTGCCCATTAAAACAATTTTAGTTGCCTGTAACAATCTAGCTGGAGTAGATAACAATTTCAATCGTTTGTAACGTATCAAATGTTTCCAGGCGGCTACACGGCTTACCCATTAAAACAGTTTTAGTTGCCTGTAACAATCTAGCTGGAGTAGATAACAATTTCAATCGTTCGTAACGTATCAAGTATTTCCAGGCGGCTACACGGCTTGTGATCCCCAATATATCACGGAGAGGATCCAACAATTAGAATCGGCTTACATAGAATTGGTTCAGCTGGCTTCAGACAGACACAACCACCTCATTGAATCTCGTAAATTGTGGCAGTTCTTCTGGGATATGGCTGAAGAGGAGGCTTGGATCAAGGAGAAGGAGAGAATATTGTCATCAGGAGATATTGGCCACGATCTCACGGCAATTCATCTTCTCATCAGCAAAAATAAGGTAAGGCTGTATCTTAAACCAGTTTTAACTTTTTTTCAATTGTTAAAATTCGAATAACATAGTATTATATTTCTCTATCAGTTTGATTTATTTTCTGCATGAATTCTGTCATCTGCTTTCTCTTAGTAAGGAAAATTGGCCCAAGGAGCACAATAGTGTTGTATAATTTATCTAAAGGAAGAATTCCCCTAGCCATTCGTCTGGACCTGTGGTGGTGACTATGGTAACGAGGGGTAACAATTTCAAGTAGGGGTGTGGGGTCACTGTTGAGGACAGGTTTTGGCTCAAGTCAGCGAGAAAGAGAGATAGAGAATCTTTTTCTTCGGGCTATAGTGTTAGCCCTAGAGCAGGGCCGGATTACCCATTAGGTCAGACTAGGTCATGGCCTGGAGTCCCCAATCATTAGGGGCCCCCTTAAAATGGATTTTTTGAAAATGAATTAAGAAAAATTAAGAAAAACAATGATTTTTCAAATTATTTCAAAATGTTATGATTATTTTTTAGTTCTAATTTAATAAAATAAAGTAAAATTTAATTTATTATTATTTATTTTAATTTTAAATATGCTTTCTTAAATGTAAAGATACATAAATACTTTTATATTTGAATAAATAAAAAATATATGAGAAAAAAATTTAATCTAAGTGCCCCAAAAATTTGAATGGCCTAGTGCCCGCGTACTCTTAATTCGCCCCTGACCTCGAGTGAAGAGAAGCTACCCTCCCTGAAATGTGATATTCTTGTTTCCATAAAGCAGCAGACGGCNGAGTCGTCAGGATGCCCCCTACCCCTCTTAGAAGTTCTGAAACGCTTAACTGAGACACCCTGTATATATATTGAACCATCATATGTAGTACCTTGGACCATGTTGGATGCTACACCATGGATAACACTCACTTTAAATTATTTTCTTCTAAACTCGTTAGTTTATTAAATTCGGATATTCAGATTATGAAAACTTATCTCTAACGAAGCTTACAAATCACCTGTATTAGCTAACATGATTCCTAAACGTAATAAAGAACAATATTTTATTGATATTTACTCAGATCACTGAAATATTTTGCTTGCAATAAGTGTACGTCTATTGTGCTAAAAATAAGAAAATTACGTCTTGATATGTTCCTCCGAAATTCTTCATGGATATTTTTTCTCGTGAATACAGCTATAAGACATTTTCTATTCGCAAAAATTCCTGACATAATTATTATGCGTGCAAAATTGCAATTAATCGTACCCCCGATGCCCTGTGTTTGAAATTCGATGAAGAATTTTCAAAAAGAAAACAGTAAAATTTAAAATATTTTTTTTGAAATTTTTATTTATTATCATGGAGAAGACGTGTTGCAATTAGTGTAGTACAACACGTCTAGTAAATACCATTCTAGTCTAATCGACGCACTTGTATTCTTTTAGTAAAACTTCAACCGACAATGTGATTCAACCTCAGTGATAGAGTTTCTGCAAGCCGGTTTGGAAGCAATTCCGGACTTGTTCACAAAAACTTGAATTTAAAAGGAATGAAAAAGGTTTAAACAGCTCTGGACGAGTAACTCTTGTCATCCAGAAAGATAATTGGAAAAAATGTCGAATTAATAAAAGTTTCCTATCGGTCTAAATCCAGTCAAATAAATTTTGAAATATAAGTTTCTTTCCCCTACAATGGTGCAATGCCATGTTATTTTATGAGAACATGACAATTTTCTGTCCAAGTTTGAAGCGTTAAAATTTTTAGTACATTTCGAAAGACGCAAATTAAAAAAAAAAATTTTAGTACATTTTGAAAGACACAAATTAAAAATATATTTTTTAGTACATTTTAAAGGACACAAATTAAAAATAAAATTTTTTATCCAGGAAAAAAAATTGCATAATAAAAAATAATGATGAATCCTTTTCATAATTTTTTATTGCTCTTCATTGTTGCCTTCCTCTTTCATGTTTCTTTTCGTTATGTTTTCAATGACAAAAATTTTATTTTATTTTTTCTACTTTTTAGTAATTTTCCAATTTAAATCTTAATAATTTTCCTTGGTGATTGATTCAATATGAATACATTCTAATTTTGTTCGAGCAATAATGTCTCTTTTCGGAATTAAATATTATCTCGTGTTCATTTTAATAATAGAATTGCCTTGTGTTTTATTGTCAATATTTTTTTTAAAAAATGCTCTGTTTTCAATTTAATAACCTATATTAACAAAAAATATTTTTAAACTTTTAAAAATAGAAGTTTTTATTCGATTTAATTTTACCTTTCAATCAGAATTTTTTAACAAAAGCTTATTTTTCAACAAGGAACTTTCTTCTTTTACTTTTTAACATAGGCCGCAGAAGGGGAAATTAACAATCAAGCCAAGCAAATTCAAGCTGTTGTTCAAACCGGCCAGGACTTGATTGCCGCCAGTCATTTCAGTTCCGAAAGTATTCAAGAAAGAATCAATGAAATTCAAACAATGCTCAGTAATCTATCTAATTTGCAGCAGCAACGAATGAAAAGGTTAACTGATGCCGTTGATTACCATCAGGTAAGGTATTAATCAGGTGAGGAAATATATGCAGCGATTGGAATTGAACTTCATCAACGCTATTTGTTCAGAGTCACAATAACATGAAATTCGAATAGCTGATACTAAACGAGCAAAATGTGTTTACAAAAAATTAAAAGAATAAAACTAAAGAAATAGTGTAAGAAAATCCTGATAAGTGGTGCTGTTATTCTGATAAAACATTTGCAAAAAAAGTGGCGTTTGTGCGCCATAGGCAGAAAGCGAAACTGATATTAGAGAGATTTCGCACTCCCACCTAACATCTCAGAAATGCGCATCCGTAGGGAATGTTCTGCGCAAGCTCTGTAGAGAATTTAGGTTGCATGGTCAGTGCACTGCTCTGAGTGACGCTGATACCTGAGTGTGCGCCGGAATACGTTACAGGATAGAACAAAATCTCTTTAATAGTGTTAAGAACAAACACTACAATGTGTGACAAGCATAGCACTGACAGATATTTCTAGCATCTTGATAATCAATGCCGACCTTAAAAAAAACAAAAATTAATAGCTGAAATCAATGTTATTTATAATTGCGAAATTTTGTTAGTGCAATAGCGTTATTTATTAATTTTAAATGCTTTACAATTAATTCTTCCGAGTTTCAGAATGAATTAGTAATATTTATTAATTTTTAAACATTTCTTAGTGAATTCGTATTATTTATTGCTTTTAAGTGGTTAATGAATGTTTTTCTTTTCTTTTTTATCAAATATTCCTATATAATTTAGTGTTTTTATAGAGTTTCTTTGTGAATTATTATTCTTGTAACGATTATTGTGAAATTAATGATCTTTTTTTTTGTCGTTCATGATACATTAGTATGTTTTTATAGTGGTTCTTAGCAAATTAATGTATTTCTAATCGTTTTTGTTTTGTTAATTAGTGTTTCTGTTTCATGAATCAAAAGTGTTTGTTCTGATTTCGCAAATAGAATATAAGTATTTATGCATTTTTTTTAAAGGAAAAAATCTTAATTTTAAATTAATAAAAGTATATATATATTATTTTTCTAATTAATAATTATTATTTTAATTATGTATATATTTTATAGTTTTTTACCGATGCTGATGATGTTGATACTTGGATGCTTGATACATTACGATTGGTATCGAGTGAAGATATTGGTAGAGACGAGGCAAATGTGCAGTCGTTGCTGAAAAAACATAAAGTATAAAAATACATTTTATTTAAAACTGCATGGATTAATATAAACTTCAATAAAAAAATTTATAAGTACTAATTTATGCTAAACCAAATTTCTAGGATACTACTGATGATTTGAAACATTTTGCGAATGTTATTGATTCCTTGCATCAACAAGCTGGGAACCTTGGAGATGAAGTAAGCATCTTTTAAATTACTGAATCAATTGAAATACAGAGGGATCAATCTAGTGCTGCATGCAAAGAAGCTGAAACAGCGTGAAAAAACAAAAATGAAACAAATATGTTTATCTCATTGGACATATTTATGTTTTTTCACATTGTTTTAACTTTGTTTGCAAAACTTGAGTTATTTATAGCACTTTTCATAAATGTATGAATTGATTAAGACCGCATAATATTTATAGTTTTATTGCATGTTTATAATCCTATATTAAAGCAAGATTACAAACCTATAAATTATTAACTTAAAATAGATTATAAAAACTAAGTGGATTATAAGTTCATAATAAAACGAGTCAACGGAGCAGTTATCTTCAATTTATCCAACGTCATTCAATGGATGATCATAGATTTAATATTTCCGTTATTATGGAGACCATTCATTTTTTATACTATACAAACAGTAGATTTTTCACTTATTTGTTTACGTAGTTAGCTTTGGAATTGTTTTTGTAAGGTTTAAATGCATATTAAAGTCATCGTGCCATTAGGGCAATCATTACTATGAATTTTAATATAATGAGTGAATAAATAAATGATAAATTAGAAAAGTAACAAAGCAAATCAAAGAACCCGTTATTTGGCAAATTTACAAATCAGATAATCGGAGTAAGAATGAATTAGCGTATTTATGAATCAGTAAATTTGCTTATTAATGAATCAACGATGAATGAATAAGTTAATAAACAGTCGTATTTGGAAATAAATTAATAAATTCATTTAAATTTAAAGAAAAAATCTTTATTAATTAATATAATTTGTGGTACAAAAGTCAACCAGAATTTTTTGTAAATTTTGTTTAATAATCATTTTTATAAACCGAGTTTAAAACTAATATTTTTTGTTTGAATTGTGAAATTTTCATTAGTCAAAAAGTTTATTAAAAGGGAAAGAGTTTACTTAGAATTTAAGTTTTCTTTTACATTTAATTTCTGTTATTTATAAATTATACAATGAACACCTGTTTTTATTTGGTTAACTTTAGGACCGAACTGCACCTGATGTTTTGCAAAGACTTGAGAGCATTGATCGTAGGTATAAAGAATTGGTTGAATTAGCCAAGTTAAGAAAACAGAGGCTTCTAGACGCCCTTTCTCTGTATAAACTTTTTAACGAAGCTGATGGTATTAAACAATGGATTGCTGAAAAGGTACATTTAATCTTTTTAATTAGTGCTTAATTAGATCTTTAATTTAAAAAGGCTAATATAAAAATAGATCTCAACAATCAAGATGCAGGAAATAATACAATTTATTAACTTATGTTATACAATTTAGTCCAGAAATTATAAAACTATGCTAAAATTTGTGTTTGGATGTTGTTGCAGAAGCTCTTTGCATTCTCTTTGTACAAACGCTCTTTGTTACTACGCCAAGAAACTCTAATATATTATGGATTTAAAAATTTTTGTAAAAGGTCGGTGCTTTCAGTTCGTGCAACCAATGAAAAATTCATCTCTATTTTGAATTTACACAGCACATTTGATCTCTCTTTTATTAAGTCTCTATCAACTGCAACTTCCGAGTTTTACCGGAAAATTCAGAAAATTTTGAAAAGATGATAATAATAAAATAATGCTCTACTTTTTTTAAACTAATTCTGACCAACAAGACATTTTAATAATTTAGAAAAGATTTTGGTTAGTTATAAAAATTTAAGCCAGGAATGGTAAAACTATACTTGGTGGTTGTTTCAAATATTCTTTGTGCTTCTTTTGTGCAAAAGCTTTTTGTTGATAAGCAAAGAAATACCAAAGGATATGTATTTCAAAAAATATATATATACTTTTTTTAAGGGTTAGTGTTTCCGTTCGAACAATTTAATTCACTTTTACCTCATTTTACAATCACGTTTCTACCAAATCCAACCTAACAACTTCTCCAAGTTCTACCCGAAGATCTCGCTAAATTAATAAAAAAAAGTGCCTAATCGATGTCAAAAAATTTCCTTTAAACTGATTCTTATCAACAAAATATTTAAATAATTTTAAGATTTTTTTAAAACGAGTAGCCATATTCAGAAAATACTTGCCTAAAATGCCTGTCAAAATCAGAAAGAAACCCTGTTAAAAGTATGGGATATGAAGCTTTTAAAACAAGTAATATATCTTCATATCTCTTAAATTTACATTTTTACAGTGCAAAAAAATTCGTGTATTAAGGTTTAACAATTAAACTTTACTTCTTAACAAAGCCTATATTTGAATTTCACATTTTTATTACAATTTTCACAAAACATAGTATGCCATTAGATCATTCTTGTATTTGTAGTTTTTATTTCTATGATCTAAATCTGTGTAATTAAGTTTTGTGTTTTGACATCCGTATGGCCAAATTAAATTGAAATTGAAAAATGATACGATGATGCAATGTCTAAAGACCAGCCGATGATGTAGATGATGTTAATACGATAATGTAGGTAATTTTGATGGGTTTTTTTTTTTTTTTTTTTTTTTTTTTTTTTTTTTTTGTCTTGTGACTATCGAATAATATTGGGTAATCAATATTCTATACATATTTTATTGAAAATCCCTGTAGTTTTAAAAGTTACATAAAGTAACGCAGTACAATGTAAAATTTTCTGAACATCATAGTATGTTCTGTTTTAACTACGAAATGCTTTTCATTTCTGTTAATGAAAAAATTAATGTTAATGAAATTTGTTATTATTAAATTTAATTAATGTTAATGAAATTTGTTGTAATGAAAATGAATTAATGTTAATGAAATTTTTTCATTAACATTAGTGAATTTTTTCAGTAATGTTAATGAAGAAAACAATTTTATCCAATATTTTTAAAAAATAGTGTAAAAACTTAAAGGAATAACTTCGTATTATTAATTTTAAAATTTATGATACTTCACTAGGTATAAATTTGTGTAAGGCATGCAAATTATTTACAAAAATGTCTTTTATATTTGTAGGAAAAAATGCTAGACTCAATGGTAATGAACAATGATATCGAAGATATTGAAGTGATGAGACACCGTTTCGAAGGTTTTGAGCAAGAAATGAACGCTAATGCTTCGAGAGTTGCTGTCGTGAATCAGCTAGCACGACAATTACTCCATGTTGATCACCCTAATTCTGAAGAAATCTTAGCACAACAGAGTTTATTAAATGAAAGGTTTGTCTATTTTTAATGATAAACAACTTGTAATCAAAGTTATACAGGCATATACACCGAAGAGCCATTACATTATGATCACCCTCCATCTATAACAATGGGCTCGCCCAGGTTTTCAGGGTTTCTCGCCCAGGAACAATGTCTTCATGGGGCACATTAGGACCCATAATCCTCATACAACAATCCCTGACGTCTGTAAGCTTCTTGAACATAGTTCACCCATTCATGGTAACAGTTTTTCCTGCGTGGGATGGTGTTTACCAACAGGATAATGTACCATGTCATAAGAGTCGAATCGTCATGGCTTGGTTCGAGGAACATTCCAGTAACTTTCAAGTCATGTCTTGGCCCCCAAATTCACCTGACCTTAATCCAATCGAGCATTTATGATCCTACTTGGAAAACCAAATTCATGCTGCCACGCTACCCCCTCGCAATGTGAGGGAATTGCAGGACCAGTTGGTGAGCGCTTGATACCAGATACCTCAGACTACCTATCAGCACCTTGTGGAACCAATGCCACGGTGGGTGCCGTCAGTTTTGAGGACTAAAGGTGGTCCTACATGTTATTAGCAGGGTGGTCAAATTGTAATGGCTCTTCGGTGTAAGTGTGCTTTAATTAAAAAACACTAATTTGTCTCAAAGTTGATAATGTTTGTGATATTAATAAAAGCAGTAATCAAAAGTACTAATAGTTTGTTAAATTTCTTAAAGAAAAAATTTTTATGGTGAGCATGAATTCGCAAATGTTTTCAAACTTTATTTTTTCTTCGTAGGTGGTCTGCTTTGAAAGATGCCGCAGAACGAAAGAAAGCTCAAATTGCATCGACTCATGGCATTCAATCATTTCATATCGAGTGTAAAGAAACTATTGTAAGTCTAGTGAAATTTATTTCAAAACAAAATGTATTCACTATAGAACTTAGAGCAACTTATTTATTTTCAAAACTTAATCAATACAGAACTTAATGCATTAAAAATTTGGATTAACCGAGATAGTCAAGAAACGTTTCATCCCGGATAAGCCAAAATCCTTGATAATCAAATTTATGCAAAGTTTGTTTAATCATTTTAAAGTAGAAAAAAATAAAAATTAGTTTTAAAAAAAGCATTTAGTAAAAAGCAGTAGTTTAAAAAAAGCATTTAGTAAAAAGCAGTAGTTTGAAAAAAGCATTCTTTAAAACTTGTCTTAAGTAATTAAAAATAAATGAAATATTTTTCGTAATTAGACATGGATTGAAGAGAAAAAGAAGTTACTGGAAGCGACAGAAGACCTCGGCGATGATTTGGTTGGTATTATGACTTTACAAAGAAGACTGAGCGGTATGGAACGAGATTTAGCTGCTATTCATACAAAAGTAAGTATAAATCTGATACATATAATGCATTATAGATGAACTTTTGTAGAGGTGTCTAAGCCAGTGGCGTACGCAAGGGAGGGGTTTAGGGGTTCAAACACCCCCCTTGAGCTCAAACAAAATTGCAAAAATAAAAATTTTAGCTGAAATTTTGCGAGCTATTATTTTTTAAGACTATACATTTTTGTTTACATTATGCCTACTTTTTTTTCCTCACGGTATTTCTCAGAATACTGAAAAAACATTTACTATAATAGGGTTGTACTTTTAAGACCAAATTCACGTGATACTGTTACGGACTGGTTCCTTTCGGTCCTGCCAGTATAGATTTCGANTTATGACTTTACAAAGAAGACTGAGCGGTATGGAACGAGATTTAGCTGCTATTCATACAAAAGTAAGTATAAATCTGATACATATAATGCATTATAGATGAACTTTTGTAGAGGTGTCTAAGCCAGAAGCTAAACTATATCACTGACTAGAGTAATTCAATTAATAGCCGTAACTTTATGGTTGTGAATGGCAACCAAGGCTTACACTATTCCTATTGGATGATTCTTATTTATATTCCAATGGAAACATATTCCTATTGAGTGCAACTAGTAACTGGTTGATCATTGAGGAATTTTAAGAAAAGCAGGTAAGTGAAGTGACATCTTAGGTCAGCTTAGACACATCTCTATATATAACTTAAAATTAAAAAATACATACCATAAAAGAAAGAACTGAGGCCAATTTGCGTTTATCTTATTTTGCATTTACTTAAGTGGCATTCTACTCTGAACTTTTTTATACATTTTCTGAAAGTAATAAAGAATGCAAATGAATAAGTAACTATTATTTTTTGAAGTTACAATCTTTTAGGAGCTTCAGTAACCAATACAGAAATTTATGTTACACAAAATGCCCATTAATCTTCAAACTTCAATCGCGTTTTCCACAGAACCTGTCTATCAGCTTCAACCCATTGATACCACACAAAAACTATCCCATCGACTTTATTCCTTATTAGATGAAAAAGAATTGAATTTTTTATTATTGCGTGTAAAATTATTTTTCTATCATTGAATTATTTTTATATTTATTAAAAGCAGGTAACCGTAAGTTTCAATTTCGCCTCTAAACGTTAGCTCATTTTAGGGAATCTTTAGAGCCCATCAAAAATATATTATAGCCAAAACAAGTTTGAATTTCGCTCCCAAATGTTTGCTCATTATAGAAAATCGTAAATATGATAATTTTGTAACAATTATAATTTTAATGGTGATTTCGTTAACTGGACTTGTAAATTACACACTGAACGATCACTGTTTCGTTTAGTTTCAGTCACTTCGCAGGTCAAGAAAGAAAAAAAAATAAAAGAAGAAGATAAAGAAACGATAAATTGTTTAACTTATCGAAAGTCTTAATTACGTCTAAGCCATTTTAAAACTAATTTAGAACAATCTATTTAATTCGTGATACAATTATACAGGAATACAACTACACGTGATGCAAGAAAAATAAATACCTCATGATACCTACTTTCAGAAACGAATGCTAAAACAAATTCGTTTTGATACTTATAACAAACATAATTTAGCAATAAAATGCAAAATTTAATGAATTTTCATGATTGATTACAGTGGGGAGCAATTTTTTTTTTTTACATTCATACAAATATTGATCTTGTCTAATTCGGGTGTGAGATTTCAAATCTAAAATTAGTTTCGCTCCTAAAGGTACAGATTTTTTTTAAATGACATTATTGGAATATTGTTTGTCGAAATATAGAAGTTTAAAAACGTTATACGTAACAGGGGTCGCGTAAATGTTACAACAAACTTCCAGAGGAGTTGGGGTACATAATCAGGATTAAAATTGGCAAGAAACCCATGCCCGGAAATGTCGTCGCAAGCTATGCTTCTCCTATTATGACTTGTTCAGAAGCACATGAAAAAACAGTTCATGATAGGAAAACGCCTCTATCGGCGTATAGCGACATTTCTGGTAAATTGCATAGGTTCCTATGCAATTTTCGCCTTCATGATGCGCCCTAACGCCCCTAGAAATTTTTTGCAACATTTACGCGAGCTCCTATTATATATAACGTTTTTCAACGAGTACCTACATTTCGACAAAAATATGCTAAAATTGTCGTTTTAAAAAACTGTAGAAAAGAGAGGAACTGATTGCAAATATGAAATTAGTGATACGAAAGAATCGTATCTGTTAAAAAATCTCATACTGATATCTATTGAAAAATCTCATGCAAAAGGACCCCCTCCCCCCCAAAAAAAATTTTATTATTCTTCAGTGTAATCAGAATTAAATTTAACTAAAATATTCTTATTTGGTGTTCTAAAAATAAATATTAATAATATATTCGTTTTCATATCAGCTGGAAAATTTGAAAAAAGAAGCTGAGAAAAACAAACTTGAGCATCCAGAGGTAAGGTTCCAAATTTTCATTCTTGAAAACATTATGAGCTAAACAATTTCAACTTAATTTATTCTTTTATAGGAAGCAGAACTAATCGAAAGAAATCTTGAGCAGATAAAAGTATCGTGGGGAAAACTGACTCATCTAGTAAGAAATTTTCATGCTTTTTTTTCCCTTTTTTGATTAAACTAAGCAGTCAAAAATATCGATTCAAAATTGAATCAGAACGCCGAGATAAGTTTGAACCATAAATAGCGAACCATTTTTCTTCCGCCTCAATAAGGTGTTAAGTTAACCAATTTTTTAATTTATAAAAACTAACACGTCTCGTTAAAAAAAAAAGATTCATGTCCACTGTAAAAAAAATAATAAATAAATAATAATAATAATCTGTTAAATTTTCAGAAAAAAAAACTTTTAGCTGGTGTGCCAGTTTAAAACCGTTTATTTCACACAAAAATATTGTTTAAAAACGGACGCGTGACTTTTAGGCATCTATGCACTGTTATTTTAACAAACTCCTGTTTCAACAAAAAAATTCTATAAAGCAACTATGTCAGCAGTGTGGTCGGTGCGAGCCGAGAGCAGAATTCGCATGACCAAACAACGCCAGGATCGTCTTATTGGTAGGCGAGCTCTATATTCCCTGAACCACGGCGGCTCTGGTGTTTGGATATTTTATTTTATAACTATCGCTGAACCCCTATTTTTGGATTTACTTACGACTGCTAATGTTCAACTATGTCACCTTGCAATTTTGAACCCAATCCAGAAGACAAGGGAACTCCTGGATTAAATATTGAGAGAAAAATTGCCTTCGTGGAGGACTTTTCTATGGATGGAACTAACCTGCATTTGCATTACATGGAGAGGAAGACCACGAGAGCTCTCCAGGGCCAGCCTGATGGCAAAGGAACTCTAACCCATGATCCGTCTACCACTGAGGATATTTTAAGTCAGCANGGCATATTATAAAATTCAGCAGTCAAAAATCACGTTCGAAGCTTCACTAACTACGTATTCAACTGATGGATGTCGAAACTATCTATCTATCGGATGGACTATCGAAATATGTTAGAATAGCAGCTCTCTCCGAAAATGTATTCACTCCACCTTTTAACGAATCAATCACAGGAAAGGGAGGTCATTTTCTACCTACCACAGAAGCCTTATTTTTCCCACACAGATTGACAATTATTTATTCCAGGAAAAGACATCCCTTCATAAAATATCTGACCATCCCTTTCTGTGGTTTCTATGACGAATGTCTGTTTCGGTGGGCCCTCTGTACCCCCTTCCTGACACACACCTCATTTCTACATCTTATTCATGTGATTGCAATCACCCCCAGCAACATCAATCCAGCTGACCCTTTCAGGTGATAAAGAATGACAAAACAAAATTTAAAGCGTTCCTTATGCTAACATAAAAAGAATAGTGATATGGTTTTAGGAGGGAAAAGCCATAAAATGCTGAAAATATGCAGTTATAAGAGCAAATATGCCTTTTTATGCATTTATATGCATATATGGCAAAAAGTGCTAAAATATGCAATTGCATATGCACGTATGCAATTGCATATTATCCGCTGTCTAATAATTACCATGTAGAGTATCAATTCAACGATGAAATCGAATCGCAATTATATTTATACAATGTTCAAAACCATAAAATAATTTCTGGAATACAAGAGCAAGTGTAAAAAATGATCGTAAAATGATTTGGAAAAAAATATTATTTCACGTTAAGCAAAACTGCTTGGCAAAAACTAGAATTTGAATTAATAGTTTCATTCAATACGTTTATGATTACTGTGAAAAACAGTGAAAATCTATTTTGTGAAAAAAAAAACAGTTTTAAACTATTAAATAGACAAAGAAAATCGGTATGAACGATTAATTCGAATCGCAATTATATTTATACAATGCTTAAAACCGTAAAATAATTTCTGGAATACAAGAGCAAGTATTAAAAATAATCTCAAAAAGGTATTATTTTACGGTAAACAAAACTGCATGGCAAAAACTAGAATTTGAATTGATAGTTTCATTCAATACGTTTATGATTATTGTGAAAAACAGTGAAAATCTATTTTGTGAAGAAAAAAAAACAGTTTTAAACTGGTAAATAGACAAAAATCTGTAAAAAATAATAATAAAAAAAGCAAGAATGTTTTTGCAACACGCGGGTAACGATTAAAAACAGAGAAGCTCTATATTTATCTTCAAGCAGCTTTCTTTTTTCTGTAAAAATATGTTTTTTTTTTGTTTTTTTTTGTGCAGAATTTGCAGTTATTTTTCACAGTATTGTCAAACATGTTGATTCACTGTTTGAATCATAAGTTGAACCATAATATGGTACAACATTTCTTTTGCCTAAATGAGGTGCGCAATAATTATTTGCTTCAGAAAAATACATTTCACTTGAGTTACTGTAAGTTCACTAAAGCACAGTCAATCTAGTTTTTAAATCAATTACCTTGTTATAAACTTCTTTTATTGATTTTAATGATTGATTGTTTATTTATTTATTTCAAATGTAGCTAAAAGAAAGAGATGCAAAGTTAGAAGAGGCCGGTGACCTCCACCGTTTCTTGAGAGATTTAGATCACTTCCAGACTTGGTTAACTAAATCTCAAACCGATGTTGCATCCGAAGACATACCATCAAGCCTCACGGAAGCTGAAAATCTCATAACCCAACACCAACAAATCAGAGAAGAAATCGACAACTACACTGAGGACTATAATAGTATGATGGAGTATGGTGAAAAAATTACTAGAGATCAAACCGATGCGCAATACATGTTCCTCAGAGAAGTAAGTTGAGCTTCTTGAAATTATATATATCATTTTTTGCATTTAACTAGATTTTTTTAAATTATTCGTTAAAAGTCCTATTGTTTTATTATTTAAAGACTCAATTGAGTTTTCCTGTTGCAAAACTGCAAAAGCACCAACTTGATTTTGTTGCTGTTAATCCTTTATTTGCCAAATTAACTTCGTCGTAGTAATATGAACACGTATTCTTTATGAACAAATGCAGAGATGTTAATTTGCACCGCTTTGTAAAAAAATATTTTCTAGTGGTAACGAAGTTTAAGTTACTTTTAGTTTTGCATTTTACGTTTTAAGTAATTTTACCACGCACTACGTATCAAAAATTCAAAGTATCACATGAAATGCAATTATTATTTTATCCTTATTCTACAAGGTTCAATACTTAATTTGCCACCAATTTATTAAAATTTTTGTAGAAAGCGGAGCAGTTGGCACCCCTGCAAAGTGGTATTCGTTTTCACTCAAACTAAGTGAATGTTTTCTTCTGTTACCTAAAATATGAAGGATAAATTATTACTGTGCTTTGAAAGAGATGTAGATGAGATGAAGATTTTCAAATGTTTGGTTTGTATTATTTTGGACGCAATAATTTTGCCTATCGTGAATAAACACGGGGATGAAAAATTTGCCAATGATGAACAATGAAATAAATATAAACTAGTGGGCTGCGCCCCCTTCTCGCTAACGCTCGCCAACTCCCGAAAATTGCTATACGCAATCTTATATGGTTTGCTTCGCAAACCTAGCTCGCTTCGTTCGCTGCTAATTTAGGTACATTGCAAATGCACAAAATTCTAAGAATTCAAAACAATAATTAAAATTCATATAACAACCTTTTTTTTTAAAAAAAACACATCTTTTTAGTAAATACTAAGTCATTAAAATAAATTTGAATTCAAATAAATGACATGTAATTNCTCAGGGATGTTTCCCAGACTGTCGCCAATAACCCATTGTGCAGCTCTAGTGCGACATAAATTAACAACAACAACATCTTCTGTTATCTAAAATATAAAGGATAAATTATTACTGTGCTTTGAGAGATGTAGATGAGATGAAGATTTTTAAATTTTTGGTTTGTATTATTTTGGGCGCAATCATTTTGCCTATCGTGAATAAACACGGGGATGAAGAATTTGCCATTGATGAACAATGAAATAAATATAAATGCGAATACGTAATGATTAATCAACAAAAAGTTATTTTCTTGTAATTTTGCTCCCTAGCATTTAAATTTGATTTATCTATAATCTTTAGATGATTTACTTCTAAGTATATGTAAGAAATGTATCATTTATTTCAAATTTTAATCGTATTTTATTCCGTATGCCAAGCTTGAATTTATATTTTTACAGTTTTGCATTTTAAGTAGCAAAATCTCTCTTATTTTTTTCAAAATTCTTATGCAAATTTTGAGCAATATTATTGTATCCTTCAATGAATCGAAATGTGGTGTCTGTCGCTCAAAATTTGTTTCATTTGTTTATATTTAATTTATAGAGACTACGAGCACTTCAAGATGGTTGGACAGAACTTCTACAAATGTGGGAAAACAGACAAATGGTTTTATCGAACAGTTTGGATCTCCAGATATTCATGCGCGATGCCAAGCAAGCGGAAGTCTTATTGAGTCAACAAGAACACTACCTGGCTAAAGATGAAACTCCAGTAAGTAGTTAAACACGTACTCATGAAAATAATAATCCCAAAATTACAACCATTATAATCTTTGCAAAGATTCTTAATTACTTTAGAAGCTTTTGCCAAGAATTTCAAGCCAGAAATGTATATTCATAAGGAGGTGCAAGCTAATATATAAGCAATAAAAAAGCACTTTCGAAATCTAGCAAATTGCTAATGTGGAAAAAGGAACTGAAAACATAAAAACCTGTTTTATGAATCATATTTTTAAAATACGACTTTTCTAAAATTCACAAGAACTACTCTACCGCTTTCGCTCGAGTTTTGTATTTTGCCCTGTAGATTATTACATTCTTTAAAATTATGTAATAAGTTGAACACCTTATAATTCCAAATTTTTCGACTATTATTAATTTAAAAAATAAAAAATAATAAATATTTACTAAAAGCTATTTGTTGCATGGGCTATCGTTGGATATACGAATTTTAGAATTGTGTGCAAAAGTTTTTCAATTCGCTTAAAAAGTTCTCGAGACATAGCAAAATACGCAAGAAGTAAAATTAACATTAAGGGGTTCAAACTTTGAAACGCTCTCCTGACCAAATTATTGGAACCATATCTCCCAGATTGCAACTATCTCTTTTATTTTGAGGCCAAAAATCCGAATCCGTAAAAGGATAAAAATATGTTAAGAGCATTTTTATGTCTGATTTCTCTACTTAAAATATCTTTTGCACTAATTAACTAACATACTTGAGGTCACCCCATCAAACCATTATGATTGAGTCGTAAAACGGGAAGATCCGATCATTAGATCAAAAGTTATTCAGGGTGGTCCTTTTTCTATTTTGCACTTTGCATCTCTTAAGTTTCATTCAGACAATCAGACTGGTATTGATATTTTTAACCTCATTTCCCGTTCCAGTTATTTGACAGTTTTCGGTTGAGTTTTTGTTTACCTTTCACCTAAATCTTAATTTGCGAAACGTAATACATATTTGCATTTTTTTAAATTTAGTTTTTGACTAGTTTTCTAAATCTGTATAGTAATTGCTGTGGCTTCGGAAAAATGGTATGAGAGTTATGTATATGATAGTTCGATTTCGACGAATGACAAATGTTTTATTTCAGACTAGTCTAGAACAAGCTGAGTGTTTCATAAAAGAACATGAGACATTTTTGACAACAATGGAAGCTAATGATGAAAAGGTCAACGCTGTTATACAGTTTGCTCAAAGGTTATGTGAAGATGGTAATTTTGCTGCTGATAAAATCCATAAAAAGGCTGAAAATATGGCTGAAAGGTATTGATTTTGCATCACTTTAATAATTTTGACGCTAAATACGTACAAATGGCTGACAAAATAATAAGAACTCTCTGTACTAACTCTATGTTAACAATCAGCAATTGTTTTGGAATATTTTACACGATGAAACTGTTGGTACAGTGTGTAAAATCATACTTAAAACTTTTAGAAATGATATGCCATATTTGCCAATGCAAAGTTCAGATCGACCGAAATGGAGAGAAGAAGTTTAAAACTTTTTTCCTATTTCAATATCGCTATAATTCTAAAAGCATTCTTATATAAATATCACAATCCTATAGAATCCTCAGAATTTTACAACAAATGTCTGCTTTATATCATGTACATGCGCTCAATCATCACTTATGCCTCAACCACATGGGCGACTGCAACCACACCTCAAAAATACAAAATCGATTTCTTTCAACACAAATTACTACGATGCAGGCAAAACGCACATAGATACATGACCAAGGAAAATGTACACAAAGACATGAAATTAGACAAAATCAGTCATTACATTGAAAAACTGCATAAATAATTTTATAGCAAAGTCATTGACTGCAACACCATATTTCAACAAGAACTTATTGATGCAAAAGCCAAAGATAATCCAGTCGCTTTCTTCTTTCTATTGGACTCTGTCCTTAGTACCATCTACGAGCACTAAAGAAGTCAACATGACACGAAGTCAGCATCTGCTGTCAACAACCGACTTCTCCAACTACATACATTAGATGTGACATTTTAGATATCAATTGAATATCCACCGATTGATTGGTTGGTGCTACCTACGACGACAGGAACCGAGATGTAGATGATAATTAGAATTAGAATCCTCCGAATTGCTGGTATTAAAACTCGAAAGAAGTTAATAAATTTTCCTCCTCATTTTCGGACGATCCGAGTTTGGCATGGGTACAAATGTGATTATTCCTGAAGACTTCAAACATTCTCTTTAAAATTGTGCCAACAGTTCTGATGTGTAAATCTTCCAAAATATTTACTGATAAAGGTAAGATTGTTTACATACAGTTAGACTAAATTGTTCGTCACCCATCTGTAAAATAGCATTTTTACAAGACAATAACATTTTTATAAGACAATGACATTTTTGTTTTGTTAAACAGTTATTCGTAGAGAATTCTCACATGAATGCATGCAGAGTGCCCCTGATGAAATCCTGGCATTCATGTTTATTTTGATCCATTTTAATTTATTTTTCTTCTTCAATTTGATTCTAACTCTAATCTTTTTATAAATCTACATCTTTCTAACCATCTAATTGAACTATTTTACAAAAAATATGTTTTTATTTTATAGACGAAACGTTAATCACGAGAAAGCAACCCATAGAATGGATAAATTAAAAGATCAATTACAACTGCAACACTTTTTACAAGATTGCAAAGAAGTAAGCATTACCATAAAATATAATTAGAATTATATATCTATTATTATTATTATTGTTATTATTATTATTACAACCAAAAATGATCTTCCAGTACTAATGAAATGCATTTATTACGTGTGTAGAATTGTATACTAGTAAAGTAAAATGTATTCATTACGTGCGAAATACTGAAATTTTGTTCCGGTATTAATAGAATACAGTCATTACATGAATTCTAGAATGACAAAATGTATTCATACTTCGAATAAATGGTACATTAGCTCTACAATGTGGTATTTAAATAGCCTATTTTTGAAATTTTAGCAAGATGTTATAATAAAACATTCTTCACATTTATTGCATTTTGTTTACAAATAGCTCTCTGAATGGACTCAAGAGAAGTACATCACAGCTCAAGACGATACATATCGCAGTGCTAAAACTATTCACAGCAAATGGACACGCCATCAAGCATTTGAAGCTGAAGTTATGGCCAATAAAGATAGATTAAGAAAACTGCAACAGGTACGATGCTTAATCTCCGTAAATAATATAAAAATGACCTAAGTAAAAAAATGAAACATATTGCAGTTATTGCAAAAATAAAAATCAAACCACTAAAAAAAAAAGATTAACAGCCGGTATTTAAATTTTCAGTTACTTTTTCGAATAAATATAATGCAACTTTTATTTTAATTGCAATTGTTGTTGTTTTTCTTGTATGCATGTACATTTGATTGATATTATGATTCTTTTATTTCAATGGATGAATAGTATTAAGGCAGTTTGCTTTATTGTCCAGAATCCTAAACGCGTTTAGTAAAAAAAAAATTAAAGCATCTATACAAAAATAAAACTATAAATTTTTTAATACACTTAAATTCCTTATTAGCTTTTTTTTATTTTGAAATTAATAAGAAAAATAAAATTTGAATATTTAGGGTGAGAATTTTTTTACAGAGAAATATATCGTGTATTCAACACCAGGAAAAAACTATAGACAGAGACACTTACCTAAATCTAGCTTTGATTATACTACATCATACTTGAAAAAAGAATGGACACTTTTTCAAAAATTACAGAGGGATACTAAACTCAGATATTGATTTGAGATACATGTTTGGGTGTTTAGAAAACATTGAAGTTGCTTATTGTTTTAACTCTTTTAGAATTTTTAAGCCACTTTAAAATCACAGAGCAAAATATTCACATCTAATCCGTATTTTTTTTTCAATTTTTATACTTTCAACCATTGTTTTAAGAAATAAGCGTCGCTAAATTAGAAATCAAGTTAAAATATGGTAAACCAAGAATTTGAGTAAGTGTTAAATAAGTTTTGAAAATATCTCAATTAGTAAATTTTACAAAAACAGTGATATATATATATATATATTGGACAGAACAAGTTTTGATAACTACCTATAACTTGTCATTAAGTTGGAACGTTAAAAATAGACAACTATTTTAGTGCTCTGTCACAAAGTGTCATTAACTGATTCGTTGGAGTTTAAAGACGAATGTAATATGAACTATTGTAATAAGAAATAATAAGTAGAGGCCATGCACTAATAAGTTAGTAAGTTCAAAATTCAATGCAAAATCGTAAACTTTCGACATAAAATGAATAATAAAATTCAGCAAAAATAAGAGTAAGAAATGAAATATTCACAATACTTATGTACAATAAGTAAGTCAAGTTAAAACATAATTCCAAAATGACTTGACATACTAACTAAGACTAAATAATTTAGAATAATTATTTAACATTAACTCATATCAATTAAGCCAAAAAAATTGCATAAGTCCGTTTTTCTGTTCATGTGATGGCCCAGTCATTCTGGTAGGTTATGACTCGTTTCTGGGTTAGTCATCATCCGAATGTTATCACTTGATTACCTATCAATTGACCCAAGAATTAAAACCCTTATGCAACTGAAACAAATTTCGAGCAAGCTACTGTTTTTCAAAAAAAAATGTCCGACAACTTGAAGCTGTGTAATACCGTGTATGTAAATAAAAGAACTTAACTGAGATTAGCTTAAGTAAAATCGGGTAATTAACTAGACTTTAAGCTCTTAGGTTTAAGCGCTTAGGTATTTTTATGGAGAGAAAAATAAATAAAAATTGGTAGCTCAATAATTTTTCTTCAAATTTATTTTAAAAAAGACAAGGTGTTCGTATTACCTTAATTTTTTAACGAAATAGATTTTGATCTGTTTTAAAAAATTTTTTACTGAAATTGTAGCTGATACTGAAAAAATCAATCTAATTTATGCGCAAATGTCTTACCATTTTGCACAAAGGCCTTTCGTAAACTTTTTACATCACTACAAAAAGTTAGGATTTTCCACGGTGACAACGACCTAGAACAATTTATAAAGTAGAAGAAAAAAGATTGAATAACCCTGATGGCCACCTAACCTTTCATTACTTGATTACCAATTTTCCCAATTTTCTGGAAGTATTTTATTTTTATATATTTAAAGTAGTAGCATAATTTGACTTAAACTTATTTGTACTACCATTATATATGATATAAAAGGTTTGGTAATTTTTCGGTGCTCAAAAAGTTTTGTTCAAGTTTTGTTAATTTCGCTATTACTAAGAAAACTTTTCTAAAAAAGTGAGGGTGTTGGCTGCAATTTCGTCACCTTAGTTAGGTATGCTTAAAGTTTGGTAATAAAATCAGATACACTTAGCTTATTTTAAGTGTTATTTATTAATGTTTAAATTAAATTTAAAAGAATTTTAGTAATTTTGGTTATTTGTTTAAATTTTTGGAATAGTAAAAAAAATATATGCATTAAAAATTAAGTGATGATTGGTACAGTAGTTGTGAAAAATCTTGCGAAGTGTTAGTAAAATAATAAGAAATTTAAAAAGAAAGATTTACATGTTGAAACATAAATAAACGTAATACCAATAAGAAGACTAATTTATACGGTGTCGCTGTGTATAGATATTTTAAAAAGTCATGTTTTAAAAATATTCAATGAATTACACTGCAATAGATTATTTGAGGATACTTTTTTTTATTTTATAGAGTGGTGAAGAGCTCGTTACTGAAAAAAGAAGTTGGGCTGCTATTATTTATCCTCAACTCTCTGAACTCGAACAGCAGTTTGAAGCCTTGGAAAATGCTACCAAAGACAAGGGTGAGCGGCTATTTGATGCAAACAGGCAAGTTCTCTACATGCAGACATGTGATGATATTGACGGCTGGATTACCGAATTAGAAAATCAAGTATTGCCTGCAGAAACTGGTCAAGATTTAACCAGTGTTAATCTAATACTGCAAAAACAACAAGTAAGATAAAAAAAAAACATTCTATTTCAACTAAACAAGAGCTCATTAACTGAACAGATTTAAAGATCTATATTTTTAAGGGTAAAAAAATGTGATATTTAGCGAGCACCGTATGATATTAGAGAGACTAGAGAAATTTTGCATATTCACCTTGCATGCGGCATGTTCCTCAACGTAAGATTTGGGCAACACAGCTACCCCCAAACAAACTTTGCGCAGAACCTATGCATGAGAACGCTGGATGCAACGAGAGAATGCGATATTTTTTAATTGCGCACGTTCTCGTGAGTATGTTCTGTTGTAGAGAAATCTGTTTGGCGTTTAATGAGTATGTGAACGTTCGGTTATGGCACGAGTAACTATTAAATTTCTATATTTTTTAGAAATAAATTACGTGTCGTTATGGTAACTGTGACTATGATGACTGTTCATCAAGAAGAAGAATAGTGATATAGTGAGTGAATAAGTGAGTTAATGAATGGGGTGAAAAAAATAAAGATTCCTTCAAGTCTTAGAAAAATTTAGTGTTAGCAGTAATTTCTCATTTTAAGCGACCGCTTTAACGTTTAGAGGTCTGGTTAGGCACAATTTTCTTTTACAGATGTATTTGTTTTCACAAACTAAAATATAGTGGAAGTCAAAATTGTATTAAAGAATAGAGATTTGTCTCATTTTCGGCCCGACTATTAATTTTTTATCAAGAAAATTAAAAAACTTAATAGTGGTTTTAAGAAAATTAACAAAACTTTAATTCTCTGAATGGTCTTTGTTGTGGTAGATAAATTTGTTATAGATAGCATTATCGAATTATCAAAATAATGGAAAAGCTTCTATAATGACTCTATGTAAAAAAAAAAAAAAATTAAGCAGCCATGGAAGATTTTACACGGCAAAATTGTTAGTATAATTCAAAGGATCATGTTTGAAGCATTTAAAAATAATGCCATTTTTTCTGTGCAGGACTCGGATTGATCAAAATAAGGAAAAGAAGTTAACAACTTCTTTTTAACTTTAATACAAGCAATTTTGTAATCATTCCGTATGATTGCTATATTTATATTACAATGCTTTCTTAATTACGGTGGTATTGAAAATAGGAAATCACCTTTTAGCTTACAAAGCTCATTTTAATCGATGCAGCTTTTAGAAATGGGCGCCATTTCTAAAAGCTTCAAGCGAGATCCTTAAAATTGAGCCATCAGTTTTGCCATGTAAAATCTTCCAAAACTTCTGCAGCCTAAAGTAAAATTGTTTACATAGAGTTAGTATATATGTGTTCCATTATTTTGTTAACCACTTTATTTTCAATTACGTTAGAAACACACTAAAAAAGTTTTTTTTTATCATTATTGGATTTTTGTCATTATACTTGGAAGGCAGGGCAGCTTAGATAGCTCCATTATTATTCTTGGAGTTTAATTAAGTATTTTGTTTGGATCAATCACAAACTCAAAATTAAGAACTATAAGGATTGCTCAAATGAAAAGTGGACACGTGTAATTGTGTTAGACCGACTGCAACTATAGAAGCTCCACCGAACAGGGATATAAAGGGTGGTGAGATGTGCGCATTACACAATACGTTTAACACTGAAAAATGTTTGTGATAGAGCAAATTGATCGAAAGTAAAGTAGTGCTATACATGGATGCTTTCAAATCGGAACAAAAATTGATTTTCTGCCCCAAGGGAGCATAATCAATTGAACACAATACTGCAGTACTCTGACGAAACTACGGAAAGGACTCAGAAGCAATCGGCCAATCCTTCTCACACAACAAGTGATTCTTCTCCTTGACAATGCCCCACTAGCCCACTCCTTTGAAGCCTATACGACCCTACACAAATTCTATTGAGAAGTGTTGGAGCACCCACAGTACAGTACAGGTTTGTCACCCTGTGACTTCAGCATCTTCGGGCTACTTAAGAGAACATTGCAGGGGACATGTTTCCATTCAGAGGACGAAGTTAAGGAAACTGTGCAAGATTTCCACCAGAATCAACCAGAATCGTTCTACTGAAAAGGCATAGACATGCTACCTAAACGATGCTACCTGTGTCACATCCTTCTTGGTGATTTCTTTTGATTTCCAATGAAAATATTCTTTTCATACAACTTGTCCAATTTTCAGTTAGACAACCCTTATAAAATACATATATAGAGGCAAGGTACCTAATATGAAGTTCCTGATGTACTAGAATTGTACAAATAGTTAAGCCCTTAAATATAAACATTTTTCTTAAAACGGTTCGTATTTTTTCATTACTTTTAATTTATTTATTTTTTGTTTTATTCTTTCAGGCTGTCGAGACGCAAATGGCTTTGAAAGCAAAACAAGTTGATGAATTAAAAAGTCAAGCTGAATACCTTGAAAGCATGACTCCGGAAAAAACAGATGAAATTGAATACAAAAAAGCATATGTTGAAGATAGGTAAGTAGTTCCCTAATCCGAAATATTTTAGCAGCTTCTACCTTTTCACGAAATCAGCAGTATTCTGTGCTTTTTTGAAGAAAAAATAGTAATTACAATTCTAAATACAAACCTGAAAAATTTTCGTGCCACCAGGAAAACATTTCAAAACTAAAATTAGAAGTTGAAATATAATTAAACTGGCAAACTAAATAAGAGAGGATGGTGAACAAAACTGCTAATTTCATCTTTATTAATAAAAAAATATTAAATAAATAAATAGGGTATGCTTATGACATATGGCTTGATTAATTTTAACCTATTAAAGCCATATCCAAATAGAAAAAAATACCTATATAAAAAAAATGGTAATGCATGCCTTTATATCAAGTGGATATTTCTTTCTCTTACGGACCATTTTAGTTTTTAAAAAAATATAATAAAAGAATAATAAAAATAAATAATTATTCTAATATAAATATTTATACTATTTGTAAATTGTAGAGACAGAAATATCGTGTTTCTGAAAAATTAATCCTAATAATGCAACACTTGTTCTTTCATTTTTGGACAAAAAAGAAATGTATTTTTAAAAGATCACTAAGCATAAGTAGGTCAACACATACAGTGTGAAAAAAAAGATCACCATGAATAACTTTTGATGCAATGATCGGATCTTCACGCTTTAGGACCGAATCTTAATGGTTCGAGGAAGAAACCTCAAATATGCTTATTAATTAGTGAAGACGATATTTTAAGTTATGAAATCGGATACAAAAACCTATTTTTCTGAATAAACGTATAGGGGAAAGCCGCAATCTGAGAAATATCGTCCCAATAGTTTGGTCAGGTGAGTGGTTATAAGTGTGGACCCCTTAACCTAAATTGACGCAATTAGGTTGACTAATTTAAGTCAAAGTAAAGAGAAAATATTATAATTCAAATTTTAATGATTTATTGTTAGGAAATACAGCATTAAACACTGGTGTCTTTTTCTGTGTTAAAGGTAAAATCTTTCAAACACGGCTTACTTTCAAACAATAATTTTCAAAATTTTCAGTTGTTCGTAGTTATTTAGATCTAAAAGAAATATTTATTTTTCATTGAAATTTCTTTAATTTACGAAATCAATTATTGATTAAATATTTGAATATGATTAAAAAAATTTGTACACTACTTTTTTTTTTCTTTCGTATTTTAATACAAATATAATTCCAATAATCTAAAAAATTTTAGTAACAGATAAACTGCTTTTTATATATAAAAAAATACCAAAATATATTTTACTTGTAATTAGCAAATCAGAAAATATATACATTAAAGGGACACCGGTGTCCCATTTGCGTCTAAGGGTTAATGTTAATTTTACTTTTTGCATAGTTCGCCATATTATAAATACTTTTAAAGTGAATCGAAAAATTTTGCACACAATTATAAAAGTTCTTTATCCTAAGATAATTTCATGCAAAAATAACTTGCAGTAAATATTTATTATTTTTTTATTAATTTTTTTTTTTTTTTCAAATAATCTGCCTTTTTCGGGACTTTTCGAAAAAAAGAGACACTGATCATGTAAAATTCCTTTTTCTTAGATTCAATAAGCTATTGGGTCCATTAGACGAACGTAAATCACGCCTAATGAAAAAGAAAGAAGCATTCCAGTTCTGCCGAGATGTGGAAGATGAAAAATTGTGGATTCACGAGAAGATGCCTTTAGCAACTTCATCTGATTTCGGTAATAGTTTGTACAGCGTTCAAATGCTGAAAAAGAAAAACCAGGTAAGTTACATATGCATATTCCTCTTGTTCAATGAAAAAAATTTATCATGAACTTGAAATAAAACCCCTTCATATCTGTAGTTTGTCTAAAGTAAGAACTCGCCTGGGCCCATGGCAGTGACTATGGGAACGGGGTATTACTATTTCAAGTAAGGATGTAGGGTCACTGTTCAAGACAAGTTTTGGCTAGGGTTGGCGAGAAAAAGGTAATCTTCTTCTCTGATCTATGTTTTATCTCTGCAGTGAATAGAAGCTACCCTCCCTGAAATGCAATATTTTTGTTTCCATAGCAGCAGACAACCTCAGACTTTGTGATGGGGGGAGTTCTTACCGTAGATAAACTATACACTTTTTTTTCGGGAGGAGTAAACTTTTTCCTGATTTTAACGGTATTGGCATGTAAGCAAAGAACTATATCTTATCTGAAGGAAAAATAAATATAGTGGACAGTTTATAACTTAAATCTGTAAAAGCTTTCATTTTGCATTTTTTAAAAAAAGTCTTAATTTTTTAGTAGTTTTACTACTAATTTTTTCTCTTTTCGGAAATCTTTGAGTAAATTGGGTCGAAAACGAGTCGACTACAAAAACAGTTAGTTGAACCGTTTCGGCACTAACCTGCCGGACTTTTATTTTGCAGTAATGGAAAATGTCTCTTTATAAAAATAGTGGTAACAAATTTGCATATAAATCTAATGGCATTTTTCTTCTCTTAACTTCATATTTGGTTGGTTTGGTAAGCATTATAACTGCTTGCTTTTCAGAAACAACTTTTTGTTTCTATAAATCAATAAAAATTTACATACATATGGGATTTTCATATTATATTCCGCTTGGGATAGGAATATTCAATTTTCTCCAATACAAATGCTAAAACTTAAAGAATAGAGTTACCAGTCTGTAACATTTCAAAAAAGAGATATGTTCTAAGAGCTCTTGCGGTCAAATGCATTCAGGATTTCTTTAACAATTTTAACATACGTCTAGGCCTGTTTACTTACTTTAAGTGAAGTAAGTAGTAGTGAATAGTTTATATTTGACCAGTTAAGAGCAGACTTTAATTTTAGAAATCCTTTCCCGGGTACGTCATTAAAACCAAGCCTTGACGTGTATTTACACACGTGGAACACAAGGCAAATGGTCTTATTCTAAATTTTATGAAATGCGTATTACGAAGATTTCTTTAACAGTTATAGCGTATATATGGGACTATTTTTTTTCCATCTAAGATAAAGAAAATAGAGATGAATAGTTTATAATTAAAATTGAGTGGTTTCAGGTTGTGTGCCCCCCCCCACTCCGCAATATACATTGTGAAGTTCTATTGGTAATATAAAGGATACATATCACCAAATAATACTTTTTATTGTATTTTATTAGAATTTCAAGTTTAGATCGTCACTGACTTTTTTTTTTATTTTGCATGACGTGTACACGCGTCAAACCAATACCTCCTAGAAGAGAGAAGGCCTTAGCACGGGTTACCATAAACAAGAAATTTGATCCTTTAGTAGTCCAAACGTAATGACATCTTTCGTATTTTCCCCTACTGCGCACCTTAGTAGCCCGAACGTAGTGACATCTTTCTTCTTTTTTCTCCTTTGCGCAGTTTACATCAGTTACGCCGGACTACTAAATTGATCCGTGCTGAGGTCTTCTCTTTACTAGGAGGTGTTGGTCAAACACACATCTCAATAGAAACTTGGTCCGGCGAGTAAGCTCGTCAAATGCACTTAACTGGTTAATGAACTCAATCTAGAGAGAAATTTTAGAATTGAACTAGATAATTTTAAAAAATAATGTAGTGTAAATTTGTTTCAATTATATTAAGTTATCTAGTAGAACCTTGTTATCGTGCAAGTTAGTCCGTCGTTCAGATCCTAACACATCATCGAATAGTGAGTTAATTTTTGAGAGCCTTCCAATTCTTATTTCAAGCTTTGCTTCACGCATGAAAGTAAATATAAATATTCATAATTTACATAAACTATCGCAAAATGATTCGATTTCACTCGCCGAACCATAATATTGCGAACATTTGATGCAGTCTGGATAAATTACTAAATTGAACAGCATTTCTTATCCAAATTAAACCATATTAATAACATGGGATCAAGGATGGATAAATTCACATTAAAATACGGTTCAACGTAAATATATTCATTGTATTATATTCGTTTCATTGATTCATTCGTTGATTCAATTTTATATTCGTTGTATTAAATTAATTTATAACGTTAATTATTATTGACGGATTGACGTTAAAGTAAATTTCAGCGATGTAATGGTTCATGACTTTCCAAAATTTCTATCATTACACTGATAATACCCCTGTTACATTTTATTTTATAATACAGTCAAACCCCGCTATGGTGAACATGGCTTATAGTGAACTCCCAGATATAGTGAACCAAAATGTTCGGTCCCTTGCCTTGCTATACACACATAATGTCATTTTTTGTGGATATAGTGAACCAAAAAAGTGAGGAAGTTGGATATAATGAACTTTTTTCTGTCTTCGACTGATTTTTTTCTTAATTTTTTTGATATTTTCAGGGAATATAAACTATCCAAATCTGAAGTTTGTAACATATGGAAAAATAGGCAATTAATAATTTCTGCTCATGAAAAAAATTTAGATGGCAGAATAAGTTGAGAAAAGCAGATCACAAGGATGATGAAGAAGCATTACTGAAGTGGTTCACCATTCGAAGAAGCCGCAATTTTCCTGTATCTGGACAAATGTGGATGAATTTGCTAAATGTTTTTATGAGACTACTTTCATGTGCTCAAATGGCTGGTTAGACAGGTTTAAAAAACGGAATAACAGAAATTCAGGAAAAATTATCTGAGAGTCGGGAAGTGTTCCATAACTGATGTTGAGGATTGCTCATCAGCTAAATATTACTAATTTTTTTTGTACGCAAGACGAAGAGTAATGAAAAATAACACATTTTTTGCTACTACATAATATTTTTCAGTCATTTATTTGAATAATGTGCAATAAAAGGGAGGAGTTTGGGAACCATTAGGTAAATTATCTGCGTAACGGATATAGTGAACACCCGGTTATAGTGAACCGAAATTTCGGTCCCTTGAAGGTTCACTATAACTGGGTTTGACTATATTCAAGAATAACATTTTCAATGATGATTGACTTTAGATGAAATGTTTCTTTTTCTTTGCCAAATTTTAGTCTCTTCAGACTGAAATCGACAACCATGAACACAGAATTGTATATGTTTGTGAGAACGGGAACAAGCTCATCAGAGAGGGCCATGAAGATGGTGCAAAGTTTAAGCAACTGATTGCTGAGTTACAATGTTTATGGCTGGAATTGAAGAGTGCTGTTCAATATCGCCGTCTCAAGCTGGATGAATCAGAAAAAGCCCAACAAGTAAGACATCATTTTTTTTATCAGGTTTATAAATATTAAAATACTTATGCAACCGAAATTGATGAATAACGATAAAAAATACGACAAAAATACAGTTGGATCTATATTTAACGAACTTCCATTTTGCGAATTTCTCTATTTTGCTATTTTTTAGAGAAACCAAGAACATTTTAGGAATGTCTTTGTAAAATAACTTCCAAATAGTGAAGTGAATTTTCTATTTTACGTACTTTTCTTTGAGATCCACATTCCCTGCTGCCCAATATATTTCAGAAAATTTCAAACTTGTTTATACATTTTATGGGGGGGAATGACCTTGAATTGATTTTCGAAGCCACTTAACTTTTAAAGAGAGCAGTAAAATCCCTTTCCCTTTTTGTTTGCATTTCAAACTAAAACTCAGTCAAAATTAATGGGTTTTATCAGTAGCAATTAAACTTAAGAACGTATGTGGTAATATATGCTTAAAATTACTTTTATAATAAAAGCAACTATAATTTTATACGTAAATTTATCTTTTTTTAGTTAAAAATGTATGTAGCATAACAGTGTAGCACTGGATAATGTTTTACTCTATTCTTGTCTTTTATGCAGATTTCTTTTATGGTTAAGATTTACAAAATAAATAGTAGATACAAATTTTCAAGATAAAGGTGTATTTACAAGATAAAGGAGTAATTGCTATTTTTTTATGTCTAGTACGAGTTTGTGGTTGCGTGACGTGGGCGACGCTGCTCCACCGCCGTGGCTTCGCCACAGGTGCCCACTGGGTAACGAGAAGAGGGTAACAGTTCTGGCACTTTCTGAGGCAAATGGACAATAGTTCCAAGTGCCCGCTATTAAAAAATAAAAAATAAAAAAAATTATGTCTAGTGTTTATGAATGTAAAACTTGTTTTGTGTTGTTTTAGTATTTCAAAGGTAATTTTCTACTTAACGAATTTTCCATATAACGAACTTATTATCAGGATTTAGCGACTTCGTTAAATAGAGATCCGACTGTATAATAATTTAATTACATAGTACACGGTTTTTCTTATACATTCTTATATATTGTTTTTATATTACGTTACTTATTGTGTCTTATTCTTCTTTTTTATTTTTCTAATCTAAATTATATTAGACCCATTAGTTTGTTCGCCCTCATCAACCCCAGCACTATGTCAGATTGCTTTAAAAGGTCATCCTGCACCAAAGCGACACAACTCAGCAGATGTTGTGGAGTAACTCTATACATATTACACCTTGCACAAATCTAGAACTTCTTCCCTTACAAAAAAAATAAGGTGTTTTTGAGATTGACAGAAATAAAAAACACACCTGTGGTAGAAAATGAGGTTATGTTTTGAAACAAAAATAACCTCATGCATTAATAAACCTTAATTTCAACATCATTTTCACTTTATAAAATCAACCTCAGATATAGCACAGCGATACTGTTTGATATCGAGTGAAATTATTCACACCTCAAATATACTTATCTGCTTGAAGTGTAGAAAAAAATTACCTGTAAGGTTAAAAAACAACCTCCCTAAGCTGGTTGCTCTAAAGCAAGTGCCCATCAACCTTAAAACTACCTCAAATATGAATACAACAACTTCATATACCTTGGGTTGTTGATTTTGTATTTATTGTGTATTGTTGATTTTGTATAAACTTTATAGCTATAACAAGTTAATCAGCTAATTAAAAAGGCTTACATAACACGAAATTGGACAACATTTGAGAATCTTTTTTTTTTTTTTCTCCAATGGCAGGCACTGAATTTGAATCTTTGTCTATACTATGCCAGAATTGTTGCTCATTTCGCGTTATCCAGTGGGCACCTGTGAACCAAAGTCACGGAGGCGAGCAACATTGCCCACGCCACACTGCCACAAACCCGTTTATAGGGTGGGCCACATTCACACACACAGCAGCGGACAGCACAAAGAGAGAGAAAAACATCCATGCCCAGAGCGGGACTCGAACGCGCAGCCTATGGCTTCGCAGTCAGGCACGCTAACCGCTCGGCCACCTGGCCGGCACATTTGAGAATCTAATTTTAGTATAATACCCACGATGTAGACAATTTATCATTTTCAAACAATATTACGACAACAATATTATTTCACAGTTTAGCCAAGCTAAACATACATTTTTTTAAAAAAATTCTTTTATCTTCTAATATTTATTCGATGTTTTGTCATTGTCCAACAATATTGTCTGTCAATGTAGTGAAGCTAAACAAATATTCTTTTACTAATTCTTTCATCTTATAGTATTTATTCGATGCGACGGAAGCTGAATCTTGGATGAGTGAACAGGAACTTTATATGATGTCTGATGAGCGTGGCAAAGATGAAATAAGTGCTCAAAATTTGATGAAAAAACATGCCAGCTTTGAAAATGAAATTGACCTGTTTTATGAAACTGTAATGCAACTCGGAGATATTGCTAAACAACTAGTGGCTGCGAAGCATCCCAGCAGGTTTGATCTTTGTTTTTGAGCAAGTATATTAGATCAACGTAAAATGCTTAACATGTATGTTGTAACTTTATTGACAAAGCATTCTTCAGGCACAAGTATATGAATTCAACATAGATTCTTAACATAATTCCTAATTTTTAGGGAGAAAATAACCTTGAGGAAAGCATAGTAAATAAACATAAATGAAATTAACATATCTCACAGTTTTTAGAGCTGAAATAATTTTGAGGCAAACATATTAGATTAACGTAGAATGCTTAAGATTTCATGTAATTTTTAGTAACAAAATAATAGTGAGGCAAGTGTATAAGATCAACATAAAATACTTAACATATCTCTTAATTTTTAGTGACTAAATAATCTTGAATCAAGTATATTAAATCAATCTGAAATAATCAACTTATTTTGTATTTTTTAGTGATGAAATAATCTTGAGACAAATATATTAGATCAACGTAGAAATCTTAACATATATTGTAATTTTTAGTGACAAAATAATGTATTCAGGAAAGTATTTAAGATCACTATAAAATATTTTACATATTTCGTAATTTTTAGTTACGAAATAGTCTTGAAACAAGTATTAAATATATATTAAATCAATATTATATAATTACATTAAATCATATAAATATTATTCTCAGTATAAAACACTTAACTTGTTTTGTAATTTTTAGTGATGAAATAATCTTGAATCAAGAGAATTAGATAAATGTAAAATGTTTAGCACATCTCGTATAACTTTTAGTGACAAAATAATCTTGAGGCAAGTATATAAAGTCAGCTGAAAATACTTAACATATCTCGTAATTTTTAGTGACGAAATATTCTTGAAGCAAGTATATTAAAACGTTGAATGCCATGGGGTCACCGGTGACCAGCACTGAGTTTTTTCGTAGCTCCATGGGGATCACCGGTGACTGGCGAAGCTAAGATTATTAGAAACACATAATTCGAGTATATTTTTGATATTTTTATATTATTAACGTTACTAAAATGGTTTGAAGAAATTATTGTACGTCATGCTAAGCCTTTAAAAAAACTAGTAAAATCTATCAAAATTGCAAATTTACTTACCATTTTTGCCAGACGGGCAAGTCATGCGAAATAGGCTTGGTTTGCAGTTGTTTAATTGCATATAAAATTTAACGTATTAATTCAATATAAAATAATTAACTTATTTTGTAATTTTTAGTGATGAAATAATTCTAAGGCAAGCTCAGCTTGACAAGTTGTACAATAGCTTGAAAGATCTAGCGCTTGAAAGAAGAACAAAATTAGAAGAAGCTTTGCAGTTGTTTAATTTGAATAGAGAAGTTGACGATTTGATGCAATGGATTGGAGAAAAAGAAGTAGTTGCAGCTTCTCAAGAACTTGGGCAAGATTACGATCACGTCACGGTAAAGCATATGGTTTATAAACTTAAAATTTAATTTTACGTACTAAACGCGCGAGTGAAAATGTCACATTTTGTATTCAATAAAAACTTTTATCAATATGTTAGCAGAGAAATATAAATATACAATATGAAGATTAAAATTTAGATATTTCATCTTTCATTGTGTGTCATATGCTTTAAGTTCAAATGGCTTAAGTATATTAAGTATGAAACAAATAATTGTAATAATTTACAAACAATGTTACATACACATTTTAAAAGCATACCCTCCAACATTTGAGAGTCTTGAAATGCATTTTTTTCCAGTAATAGAAAACTAAAGCAAAAATTATATGCGTTAAAACAAATAGAATAATTAATTAAACAACAGCTATCAGAACATAACCTTTTGACTCAGGATTTTTATTAAACCTATTTTTCAGACTTTCTTCATTTTTTTGCATTAATTTAGATCGAAACAAGTAAAAAAAAATTATATTTAGCATTTTAATGATCTATGGTTAGAATATACAGTATGAAACACCGCTGTCTGCATTTACCCCTTGGGGACGGGTGATTCAGAAAAGCATTCGTACAAAATCAGAATCAAGTTGTAATTAAATAAAAAACGGTAAACTTAAATGTAGTCGTTGCTAATTTGACAGACTTACTTTGCTTTTACTTTAATTATTGTTAGTTTAATCATATATATAATCAATGTTAATTCAAAGTATAACTAAATAGTTTTATTTTGAACAAAGTAATGGTGAATTAAATAAATCAAACAATTATAACTCCGCCCACAAATAAACTGCTAAAGAAATACTTTGATTACCAGTTTTATCTTTTTACCCTGATTGATACATTTTTTATGCTGGCACGTATTTGTGACAGTCGGCGCGAAAGGGTTAAAGGTAAAATCTTCCTAACACGCCTCACTTCCAAACAATAATTTTTCAATTTGCACTTCTTTGCGGTCATATTAGATAAGAGCGAAACAGTTATTCATCATTTAAATTTCTTTATTTTTCAAAATCAATTATTGATAAATTTTTGAATAAAAATGGAGAAAAAAATTCGTACTACTTTATTTGGATTTTATATTTTGTTAGAAATATAATTCAAATAATCTGATTTTTTTTAATAACTATTAGACTGTTTTCTTACAATTGAAATATACCAAAATATTTTTTTGATGGAATTTAGTTATTACTTTGAATATTTAAGAAAAATTATCTATCAAAAGAGGGAAAAGCTTGATGTTTCTAGCATGCAATTTTTATTTCCCCTGTGAATGTATTTTCTTAATTGGCCGCTACGAACCTTTCTTGCAGATGCTTAGATCTAGATTCAAAGAGTTTGCGAAGGAGACTGAATCCATTGGTAGAGAAAGGGTTTCAAGTGTTAACTTCCACGCTGACAAATTAATCACTGCTCATCATGCTGACAGTGCCACCATTGCTGAATGGAAGGATATGCTGAATGAAGCTTGGGCTGATCTTTTGGAGCTTGTAGAAACTAGAACACAAATGTTAAGCGCATCGTGGAAACTACACAGATTTTTCTATGACTGTGCCGATGTCTTAGGTCGAATCATAGTAAGTTGTTTTTAAATATTTTAATAACAATAGCAAATTAGTATTGTCCAAAACGTGGGGTGTTCTGTAATCACTGCTTCTAAATTATTAGGTAGTGTAGAATCCTTTAAAAATGGAAATCTTAAGGACTAACATAATAGAAATTGAAAGCCACGATTACAATAAGAAAAATAAAACACGATTTTAAAACTGACGAATAGTTATCAACGTCAATCACTATAAAGCAGTCATGTCAAAGATACGGCCCGCGGACCACATCCGGCCCCCGGTTCGTATCAATACGGCCCGCTGTCGCGATGTGTCACAGAAAGAAGAATCGTGTTTTTTAGAGCTTTTACACTTCACTCGATTCCTCTACGGAAGTTTTAAAATGTGCACACTACATTTATAAGTAATTTCAAGGGCAGCGCGTGCCTAGACAAGCGAGAGAGATAGACAGTAACGCCATNTTCCCTAATTTATTAAAGAAAAGGACTTCAACTTTCAAAACTTTGAGAAACATATTTATTGGCAACAAGTACAGCAATGTTTCAGCTATTTTTCATCATAGCCATCCCCAGAATTGAGACACTTGTCGTATCGTGGGATCAACTTTTGTATCCCTCCGTTGTAGAAATCTGCCGCCTGTGAATGGAACCAACGTGTGACAGACGTCTTCAGCTCTTTGTCGTTGCCAAAACGCTCAGCGGAGGACAGGAATTTCTTGAGGTGCAGGAAAACGTGAAAATCGCTGGGATCAATATCAGGGCTGTAGGGTGGATGATCAAACAACTCCCCGCCAAATTCCGTCAAAACAGCTGCTGTGTGTCGTGCCGTATGTGGACAAGCATTGTCATGCAGGAGCGCAACACTTGCAGTAAGCATTCCACGACTCTTGTTTTGAATGACACGTCACAATTTCCGCAGTGTTTCACAGTAACGGTAGACGTCTGCCACACGCTGATTCCATTCATTGCCGGCAGAGTTCTACGACAGAGGGATACAAAAGTTGATCCCACGATACGACAAGTGTCTCAATTCTGGTGATGGCTATGTTGAAAAATAGCTGAAACATTGCTGTACTAGTTGCTAATAAATATGTTCCCGAAAGTGTGAGTTCTNCAGGAATTTCTTGAGGTGCAGGAAAACGTGAAAATCGCTGGGATCAATATCAGGGCTGTAGGGTGGATGATCAAACAACTCCCAGCCATGTACTAGTTGCTAATAAATATGTTCCTGAAAGTGCGAGCTCTTTCTTTTTAAAAAATTCGGGAAACTTACTTTCTGGATGCGCCTCGTAATTTTAATAATAAAATACGTTCTAAATAATTTCTTTTAGATAAAATTCTTAAAAAAAGGAACTAATAATTTTGAAATTTTAAGTTCAATTTTCGCTAAATTCTTTTTCATAATTAATTTTACTTCACTTGAATTTTTATTTTTATTTACTTATTTATTTGCTACCCCCACTTCTCTCAATCACAAGCATCTTGCCCTGTTTTTCAGGGCTCTATATTTTAATAGCCATGGTAGGAATGCTATGCAATTTCAACTCAGTAGGGCCCTATCTGGTACACTTCTCTCCAAACTTTCACACCTCAAACAGCGACAGGACGTGCATCATCCACCAGCGTGGTGCCTTAACCCGATCCGCCATCGATGCATTTGGGACTCCCTTTATATAGATTACCATTAATTTATTTTCAACCAGGATTCAAACACATGCTTCAAAGGCAATGTTTCGAGGGTACCCTTTGCAGGTGTATATGAAGATTTTTCGGTAATAACATTGATTTTCATTTATTTAGGAAAAACAAAATGCTATGCCTTATGAACTTGGAAGAGACGCAGTTAGTGTGTCTAGTTTGCAACGCAAGCACATTGGCTTCGAGCATGACCTGCAGACATTGGGATCAGCCGTAAGTTGTTTTTCATATTTATTTGCTTTATTATGTAATATTCCCATAAATTTGTGTTGTAAAAAATTTCTAATTCACGCCATTAAAAACTTTGCTGCAATCATAAAATAATAATGCAATCCAAAATATTTTGTTGCAATCATTGCTGAAATTATAATATACACCGAAGAGCCATTACATTATGACCACCCTGCTAATAACATGTAGGACCACCTTTAGCCCTCAAAACTGCTAGCACCAGTAGTGGCATTAATTCCACAAGGTGCTGATAGGTAATCTGAGGTATCTGGTACCAAGCGCTCACCAACTGGTCCTGCAATTCCCTCACACTGCGAGGGAAAAGCGTGGCAGCACGAATTTGGTTTTCCAAGTAGGACCTCAAATGCTCTATTGGATCTAGGTCAGGTGAATTTAGGTGCCAAGACATGAGTCACTATAATGTTCCTCGACGATTCGACCCTTATGACATGGTGAATTATCCGGTTGGTAAACACCATCCCCCACAGGAAAAACTGTTGCCATGAATGGGTGAACCTGGTCTGCAACTATGTTCAAGTAGCTTACAGAGGTCAGGGATTGTTCTATGAGGATTATGGATCCTAATGTGCAACATTGTTCCTGGGCGAGAAACCATGAAAACCTGGGTGAGCTTATTGTTATAGATGGAGGGTGGTCATTATGTAATGGCTCTTCGGTGTATATAAATTATGTATATAATAATGTGTATGAAAGATATTTAACAATCAAATAATATTTTATTTTTAATAATCTAAAACACTGGTAGTAAAATTTCTGAAAAGAATTTATATAAATTCACTGCTTTACGTTTCTAATTTAATATTCTAAGAACTGAATTCTCTGGCAGAAATTACCTAACAGAAATATTTTTTAATATTTGATTTTCTTATGTGATTTTAATTGTTACTTTCCAATTTATTAACAAACAAATTGTCTTATTTTTGCCATACATGAAAAACTTAGTTATTTGTTCAGTAATTAAATTCACAGTAATAACAAAATGTAACTCGTGGATTACTAATTGAATATTTAACTTTACATAAAACTATTCTAGACAGCAGTGTAAGTTTGATTTTAATGCCAGCAACAACCTTTATCACAAAGCTCAACAAGGTTTATAAAGGTTTAGTAAATGAACCATGTCAGCTTAAAACAATGTTGAATATAACTATGCAAGTTTACACCCAATGAGGTTAATTAAGCTTGCTTAAACAACCCTTTCATATCAAGATTAAATCCGCCTTTACAAAACAAGGCTAGGTAAACCTTCCGAAATCGGGGATGAATCATTTTCCGCAAATCCTAAATGCGAAGCGTTCTCAAATCAAGAGCAAATTTACCTTTTGAATATTTATTTTATATTTAATAACCATCACTGAAACAAGGTTTACTTACGCAAGCTATTATATACTTTATTTAATACTTAAAAAAGTGAAGGTTGGCCTGTTCATTAAGTTTTCATCTCAAACAAAATGTTGCTTTTGAGGTCTCGGACAAAGCTAGAATGAAAAAAGGCAAAAACAAAGGTTGCAGTAAAAACTAAAAAACGTAAAATTTTTTTGCATGCCTTTATTCAACCGTTAGAAAAACAGGCTTGGCATATTAATATTTCTACCAGTTTAAAAAGGGATTAATTAGTCAACTTTTCTATGCCAACCAAATGAAAATAAAAATGCAGGTTCATACAACGAAAGATACTGCATAAATTTATCTTCATCTATGCTCAAAACAAAAAAAACAAAGATAACTCACTAGTATTTTGGGGGTTGCCTATTTAACTTATCATCTTAGTAAAGCTTAGCTAGCATAAGCTCAACCAGTTATATAGTTAACATTTGCATAATGACACAACGTGCAGCAATATTTTAAAAACAGGAAGTTTTCTTTGACATGCAAATCATAAATTCTATACATATTTTCCTTTCTGGGGAATGTCTTTCTCTAGGTGCAACAAATTCAAGACGATGCTATTAAATTTAATTCCATTTATGCTGGGGAACGAGCAAATGAAATCAGTAACAAAGTTTCAGAAGTTGTGAATGCCTGGCAAAAACTGTTGCATATGTGTGAAACCAGAAGAGAAAAACTGGCTGACACTGGTGACCTCTTCCGTTTCTTGAATATGGTCCGAGACCTCATGCAATGGATGGAAGAGACAGTCCGAATGATGAACACGTCCGAAAAACCAAGGTAAGGGACATATATTTCTTCTTGTAATTGAATGCAATTTAAACCTTTAGGAGCCGAGTAAAATGGAAGTATACTCTTTGGACGGTAAATCGCGCGTTATCGTAATACGTCAAACTTTATTTTACCATGACAGGTCTTTTTAAAATATAGAAGAAAAAAAGTTGAAGGCTAATTTCTTCTTTTATAAAGTTTAGCTTGAATAAACAACCCCACCAACAATTTCACTTTCGCCCCAGTTCGGCTCAAAATTGGCTCAATATAGGTCCTACATAAGCATTCCCCGAGGGACCAATATTGGGATGTCTAGATTTTTTCATATTAGTCCTATGCAGTGTCAATATCGGCCTATATAGGGCCAATATAGGGCTCATACTAGCTGAATAATGATTATAAAATATCGGGTAAATATGACAATTCTATATGGGGCTGATATTGGTTGTAAAGTGGCAGTGAAATATCGGATGAATTGGACAAATCTATATAGGTCCCATATCGGAAAAATATCGGCCCTTTGAACCCTTATTGAGCCAAGGTTCGTAAATATTGTCCTATAAGAGCCCAAGTTATTTTGCTGCTAGGGAAGCTATTGTTATTTTCCTTAAATTGAATAATTGTGCATTTGGTTTTCATTGTTTTTCCTTTTATTTTAAGACACCTAAGCTCAATTTATAGCTTTTTATTTATTTCGATTAAACTTTTTGGCTACATTCATTTTATTCTTAAACATAAAAATTGGTTACATTTGTTTTGTTGAGTATGCCAATTCAGCAAGTCAAATATGCATTATCTGGATGTCAATTTATTTCGGATAATTTTTCAAAGCTCCCGTGAGCCTTAAAAAATTTTAAAAAATGGTGGCAGAATATTAGACAAACACCTATATTTTAATACCTTTGCATATTATTTTAAAAATATATATATATTCTGTAAGAGGACTCTAAGCTGCTAAATCTCTAAACAGTAAAGTAGCATCTTTAAAAAAAAATTCTACTAGCATTAACATATCACCTTTTGAAAATTATTTTCTTATCTATCAAACAAAAGTGGGTGTTTTTAAAATTAATATACTTTTAAGCAGAGATGCTCACTGCTCCGGATTCTACAAAACATTTTAATAAACGGTAGAAAACTATAATCTAAAATTCGCAGATTTTCGGTCACAAGGCTCAACACGGCTTAACTGCAGCAAAGGGGCGTATCATATTATAAGCCTTTGAATTATTTCGAAATAGAGGTGTGTAAACACCCTATAAATCGAATTTACTAAACTAAGAATCATACATTAAAACACTACCACGAGAAAATATTTATCCGCAGTCCGTAGCAAGTTGGCATCTCTGATTTGAGGAAAGGAAAGTGTAATTAGCTAGTGAAGGAAAGAATCATACGGTGTAAAAATGTTGCACCAAAAGGTTACCAAGGAAACGCTATTCCACGTAAACATCATTCACTGCATAAATGACTAGCAAAAAGTTAAAATGTTTTTAAAATATTAAAGGAAAAAAAATCATAAGATACATGTATTGTGCTCTTTTTCTTCCTCGAAAAGTTTATATCTGTAGTGCAAATGTTGCTCTCTCTGTCCCTGAAAGGTTAAGAAAGAAACACCATTTCAAGTAAACTTTCATTCACTATGTACAGAGCTGACAAGAAGTTTATAGTTTTTCAAATATACTGAGGGAAGAAATCATACAGCACAGACATTATACTATTGTCTTTATAAAAGAGCTTTACGTCTGTGGTACAAATGTTGAACCACCTGTTCCCAAAATTCTAAGAAAGAAATACCATTTCATATAAACATTAATTCCCAACATACATTACTGACGAAAAGTAAATAGAGTTAAGTTATTTGGATAAGATTATGCATGAAGAACAAATATTATACTACCTGACACAGACGAAGAAATCATATGACACAGATACTAAACAGATGTACTCTGGCCTTCCTTAAAGAAGATTGCTTCTACCGGTCCCCAAGAGACTAAGAAAGAAACAACATCTCATATAAACACTCATTCACTACACGCAACTCTGACAATGCTTTCAAAAATATCGAGGGGAGAAATCATATGGCACAGATATTGTACTCTGGACATCCTTAAAATAGTTTATATCTGTTGTACAAATGATGTATCAGCTGTCTCCATGCGGGTAAGAAGCAATAATTTCAGGTAAACGTTCCTTCCCTACACACAGAGGTGAAGAAAAGCTTTCAAAAGTACTAAAACATTTTTTGGTAATTGTTACACAACGTCCTTTATATCTCAATTTCCCTTATCTCTTAAATTATGTAGATTTCCCTTGTAGTCTATAATTTTCTTTAATCGAATGTAATTTTTACTTATATACGTTATTATTGACTTATGTTGCAGTGGACTAATCGTATGGTCCCGTAGTAGACTGATCGTAAAGTCATGATTCCCAGTAGAACACAGAAGTCAAGCATCACTGGCTGCGGTCAGTAAGCGGGTTAGTGACCACTTTGATCAACCTGCGTATGGACCGTGGGTGCGTAGTATCGGTCCTTGTTAAACTGTAAAATGCTCGACTTCGCCCGTAGGTCATCGGGCTACCAAAACAGGGGAGCCATCCCCTCTGCAGAGAATCAAAATTGCAATAGCATGTCTTCGGATCATCCTCAGGGATGTTTCCCAGACTGTCGCCAATAGCCCATTGTGCAGCTCTAGTGCGACGTAAATTAACTACCTACTACCCTAACTGATTTATGTTGCTCCTTCATTTTTAAAGGAGAACTACTAATATGATTCTCTTTTATAAAAAATGACTGTGTTTTATGGATTATGTTTCTTGTGTAACCTAAAGAAATTATATTGTTTTTTAAACAGAGATGTCTCTGGGGTGGAGCTATTAATGAACAACCACCAGAGTTTGAAAGCTGAGATCGATACCCGTGAAGATAATATATCCGTATGCATAAATCTGGGAAAAGAATTGCTCGCCCGTAACCATTACGCATCAAATGAGGTAATTATAATATGATACATTATTAGTTTTCAGGAATTAAATTAATTTTCATTCCATATTTGTTGGTAATAAAGTCAGTGTCCTTTGTATCTCTGTCTTATTATAACAACTACGGAATTACCGTCTCATTATTATTGCTGTCAATGTATTAAAAGTTAAATATAATTCGCTTCATGTAAAGAGTACAGCAATTTTTCACTTGTTCTAAGTGTTCCTAAAAATATAACTAATGGTTTCAAAGAGATGCAAACTTTTTAGGTTTTTGCAAAAGATTTTTTGCAATGGTAGTATAACGAACTGACATTTTTAAAAACAAATTGAATTGTTCATGCATTTCTTTTTTCTTTTTTGTATCTGATCTTTTATGAATAACTTATATTCTTTATGTAAAGCTCATATTATTTATGTACAATGGAAAATATTCATTAAATTCTAATTCTTTAAAATACACTGCTATATATACATAATAATACACTGCCTTTGCTACCACTAGAAAAATTATTTCCTGAAATTATAGTAATTCCGTAGTAGTTAAGGAATTTGAAGATTAATTGAACAAAGTGCAAAAATTTCGAACCAACACTTAGATAAATCTAATAAGAGCTAACATATTTCATATATGGTTTTTAACAATTTTAAAGACTAATAACTATGTTTCAAAATGGCTCAGGAAGTAGAGTGCTTACCTTCCAATGAAGTGAACCGGGTTCGAATCCTAGCTATGGCTGGTTGATTTGAATTCCGCTCTCTACTCGATCTGACCATAATGCTGACGTAAAGCATCCTCATTGGTAGACGTATTATGGGTTATAGTTCCCTTGCCGTCAAGTTAACCTTTGGAGGTTTTTGTGGTTTTCCTCACCATTTAACGCAAATGCGGATTAGTTCCATCAAAAAGTCCTCCACAAAGGCAAATTTCTCCGTATCTTTGTATCTCAGTCTTATTATAACGACTACGGAATAGCCATTTTATTATTATATTCGTCAATGTATTAAGTAGTTAAAAAGTACAGCAATTTTTTACTTGCTTATAAGAGTTCCTAAAAGTATAACTAATGGTTGCAAAGAGATACAAACTTTGCAACATTTTAGGTTTTTGCAAAATATTTTTTTTTGCAATGGTAGCAAAGCAAAGCTGACATTTTGAAAATTAAATAGCATTGTTCATGTATTTGTTTGTTTGTATTTTTTTTATCTGATCTTTTATAAACTGCTGTTTGTAGAAAATGCAACACCATGAAGGAATCATCAGAATCAAATGAAATATTATTTTAATAATGGATATAGGATATTATGCAAATTAATAAAGTTTCAGAGCCATCGCGCGTGCGTGGCGCGCGCAGCGCCCTCTGAATTGATGCTGAAAGCGTATAAATAAAGTGCTGTAGCGGGACGTTGAAAATAGTCTATNTGACACAGATATTAAACAGATGTGCTCTTACCTTCCTTAAAGAAGATTGCTTCTACCGGTCCCCAAGAGACTAAGAAAAAAACACCATCTCACATAAATGCTCATTTACTACACACAACTTTGACAAAAAGTTAAAATGCTTTCAAAAATATCGAGGGGAGAAATCATATGGCACAGATATTGTACTCTGGCCATCCTTAAAATAGTTTATATCTGTTGTACAAATGATGTATCAGCTGTCTCCATACGGGTAAGAAGCAATAATTTCAGGTAAACGTTCCTTCCCTGCACACAAAAGTGCATGTCTTCGGATCATCCTCAGGGATGTTTCCTAGATTGTCGCCAATAGCCCATTGTGCAGCTCTAGTGCGACATAAATAACCTACCTGATTTATGTTGCTCCTTCATTTTTAAAGGAGAACTACTAATATGATTCTCCTTTATAGAACATGACTGTGTTTTATGAATTATGTTTCTTGTGTAACCTAATGAAATTTAATTGTTCTTTAAACAGAGATGTTTCTGGGGTAGAGCTATTAATGAACAACCACCAGAGTTTGAAAGCTGAGATCGATACCCGTGAAGATAATATATCCGTATGCATAAATCTGGGGAAAGAATTGCTCGCCCGTAACCATTATGCATCAAATGAGGTAATTATAATATCATACACTATTAATTTTTAGGAATTAAATTAATTTTCATTCCACATTTGTTGGTAATAAAATCAGTGTCCTTTGTATCTCTGTCTTATAACGGCTACGGAATAACCGTTTCATTATTATATTCGTCAATGCATTAAGTAGTTAAAGAGTACAGCAATTTTTCACTTGCTTATAAGAGTTCCTAAAAATATAACTAATGGTTGTAAAGAGATACAAACTTTCTAACATTTTAGGTTTTTGCGAAATAATTTTTGCAATGGTAGTATAACAAAGCTGACATTTTGAAAATCAAATAGAATTGTTCATGTACTTGTTTGTTTGTATTTTTGTTATCTGATCTTCTATAATTAACTTATATTCATTATGTATAGCTTAAATTATTTATATGAAATGGAAAATATTCTTTAAACTCTAATTCTTTAAAATACACTGCAATATGAACAATAATAAACTGCTTTTGCTACCACTAGAAAAATTATTTCCTAAAATTACGGTAATTCCGTAGCAGTTAAAGAATCTGAAGATTAATTGAACAAATTGCAAAAAAAAATTTTGGACAACACTTAAATAAATCTAATAAGAGCTAACATATTTCACATGCGTTTTTTAACAATTTTAAAGACTGATAAATATACTTAAAAATCTTTCTGGGAGCCGTGGTGACTCAGGGGACAGGGACAGAGCACTCACCTACCAGTGAGGTGAATCGGGTTCGAATCCTAGCTATGGCTGGTTGATTTGAATTCCGCACTCTACTTGATCTGACCATAATGCTGACGTAAAGCATCCTGATTGGTAGACGGATTATGGGTTATAGTTCCCTTGTCGTCAAGTTAACCTTTGGAGGTTTTCGTGGTTTTCCTCACCATTTAACGCAAATGCGGGTTAGTTCCATCAAAAAGTCCTCCACAAAGGCAAATTTCTCCATATACTTGATTGAAGAGCTCCCTTGTCTTCTGGACTGAATAAACTTACAAGGCTACGGAGTTGAACATTGGTAGTCGTAAACTCAAAATTCGGTAGGCTGTTCAACGACGGTTACAAAATCTTGCTGGATAAGAGTGTAAATTTTGCTTTGCAAACAACTTTACTATTTTATATAATTATTTTTATATATAATTAGTTTGCTTTCAGAAATTATTTAGTGGTAGAAGCTTGTCTGTAACTTGATGATAAGCTAAGTAGAGTGATTACCAAATCGTGAGAATAATTTAAGCTGAGATGTTAGTACCCCGAAAAAATGGGAAAAAAATTACTTAAATACTGTTTCATATAGAGCTTGTTTTATAAAACAGTCCTGATTACCAAAATTTATTAACAGTTAAAACTTATATGACGCTTTTTTGATTTGGACAATAATTGAAAAGCATAGTGAAAGAGTTAAGTAAGGGACATTTTGAGGGGTATTTATGAATCAAAAAAAGTTTTGAGTATGCTCGCATAATTTTTTACCTCAAATTAAGATGTGTTACCTAAAATAAGGAACGGAATTATTAGCCTTGTCTTCTGATAAATCTATAATAGAACAATTCGTATGACAGTTTTCTTTCGTCTTACCATGATTATAGACTCTCTGAATTTGTCACTTACGCCTGGTTCTTCTACTAAGCTCTTCAATTTTGAATATTCGATTCCTTTCAGAAACAAGCCAGAAAGGAAATGGTCTTACTACCAAGCTCTTTCTTTTTTCCGGATCGAAATGAATCAGCTTAGTTATAAATCTTTTTAAGAGTGTCTAAGCTTAAGCTGGCAGCTATGCATTACTAATCTATTTCCACCAACAATTACAAAATTGAGTTTTAACTGATATCTGAGTATTTAATCAATATATTTATCCAATATATTTAATTTTAGATAAAAGAAAAACTATTATCTTTAACAAACCAAAGGACTTTAATGATGGACAGATGGGACGAAAGATGGGAGCATTTACAATTAAGTAAGTTGTATTGTTTGATCTGAAGAATGTTAGTTTTTAGACATCAATATCTACTTTAATTACAGTTTGGAAATAAAATTCTGATTTTTCTCTTTATCCATTTATTAAAAAAAACGTAAGGGCAGCCGCCGACGTTATTTTGGGTATTCAACTTACCGTTACATTTAGTTTTGCTACTCAAAAACTATAAACTTCCAAACTTGAAATTACGGCAGTGAGTTGAAAAATGTACTGGGAGTACATTTGAATAAGTTTAAACATTCGATAATGGACAACTAGTCAAATTTTCATTTAGCGACATAGCTAAGTTAGCTGGTAACGGAACTTAAAGCAAAAAATTATAGTCTGTTCATGGAAAGAACTCCCCTAGCCATCCGTCTGGAGCAGCGGTGGTGACTATGGTTACGAGGTTTAACTATTTCAAGTATGGATGTTGGATCAATATTTAAGATACGTTTTATCTCGGGTCGGCTTTAGAAAGGGAATTAGGGGAAAGAGAAGCTCCTTTCCTTGAAATGCGCTATTTCTTGTTCCCATAGAAGCAAACGGTCTTAGGCGTAGTGGTGAGGGGAGTTCTTTCACTGGACGAACACTATAAATATTTTCCTAATAAAATCCAGTCTCTTAAATAAAAATCGATTCTGAAAGGTGCAAAGAGGGGGTTTTTTTCCATCATAAGACAAAGCTCGTTATGTAATAAAACCGGTTAAACCTCTTAACTAACGGAGATCATCTTACTTCTTATGAGGTCTGAAGTGCGGCAAACAAACATTCGAAACTACTCCAACAAAACTAAATAGTTAAGAAATAAGTTAAAACTAATAGTAAATTTCAAAACTAAAGAGTTAAGAGGCTCCACTCCATTCGCATTTAGTACTCATTCGAGAATTATTACTGTTACAACTGTTAAACTGTTGGCAGTTACACTTGCAGGGAAAAAAACATGCGAGCCGATTTTACTGGAAGCAGAAATGTAACTACAGTGTTGAAATTCGGTATGCTGAAATGGCTATATTTCCATATTTGCTTAGATACTTAACACAGTTATTGCAAATTAAAGTGCTTTTTCGTGGTTCTTTTTCCACTTTTCTTTTGTGTTTTCACAATATTTTGCCTGTCCTTGCCACGGAACACTATTTCGAATCTCATAGCTCCAGAATCGTTGGAGACATGATTCTGAAAATTGAACATCAACTACGAGGAGCAGTTCTAACCTCCGACCCGAAAAAATCGTTTATAAATTTTAGTTATTCCGTTCGGTAGAAATGTTTGAAAAATTATTTTTCTTCACATTAGTTTAATATTAATCATTGTTACAATGAAAAGAGTGAATGATTCTGTGAAAGATTTTATCGCACGTTCTTAATTGTTTATTTTTTACTAGTTCAGTCATCAACGTAAATATCATCTCGCTCGGTGCTACGTCTCCGAATCAGCATGTCTAAAGTTATCTGAAACGACTTGTTTATTTTGTTTATAGTGGTGCTTTAAAAACGTGTTTCTATAAGAAGAATAAATAAAGGTGCGTTTTTTTTTCAAAGATTTAATGAATCTTATGACAAAAAAGTAAAAAATAAAATAATTTAAAAAAATTTTAAAACCATCAATTCTTTTCTATAGATTACGAAATAGACGATTATCTTGATTTGAAAAATACTCATCAATGTTTGATAAAAAAATTTAACCTAAGAAATGAAGATTTTGGTTCAAGGAAAGAAGAAATAAACGCGGAATAATTTTACTCCTTGACGAAATTTATAACAGTATTCAAATGGTTTTTATGGCTCTTTATTAAGTTTTTTTTATTTTTAAAATTTTTAGTATAATTGTTAAGATTAACATTTGGCAACATCTTTCAATCTTTCTTTCTCACTTTGATTGGCAAAAACACTACAATAGATTGATTGGCCAAAACACTACATTTTGTCACACTGGCCAAAATTATCCGGACACCCAATGGTATGAACTTGAGGCACATATTAATAGGATAGTGGTCCCCTTTTGTATCGATGACAGTCTGAAAACGTCTGGGACTGCTTTCCACCAGTTTTTGATAGGTGGCCTTAGGAATTGACTTCAAGGCTTCCATCTCAGTATATGTATGGAAAAGTAACATGTTTGTTACTTTTCCTTATCTGCTCAAATTATTTTGCGCAATAGTTGGCAAAAATTTTTAATTCTAATTTATTAATGCATAGCCTGTGCTATATTTAAGAAATATTAATATTTAGGAAAAAATATTTTCATCTACTGTTATTCCGTAGTAGTTGAAGGATATATCTATATTTTTAATCTTTTGCACAGTTCTTGAAGTATATCAATTTGCCAGAGACGCTGCAGTAGCGGAAGCCTGGCTCATAGCTCAAGAACCTTACCTTTTAAGTCAAGAATTAGGGGTAAGTTAAAACAGAAATCATAATCTATACATCTATACATAATAATAAAAGCGGCTGTGTGTGTGTGTGTGTGTGTGTCTGTAATCACAATATATCGCCCCAGAAGCCTCGCCCGGGCTCGAAACTCGACACATAATTGTGTTTTGACATAATGAANAAAAAAAAACGTTATGAAACTGTGTTGATATTAAGCTTATTCGTGCTTCTAATATTCTTATTTATTTTAACAGCATACTTTGGACGAAGTTGACCAACTAATAAAGAAACATGAAGCATTCGAAAAGTCAGCCGCAGCTCAGGAAGAAAGGTTTGCTGCACTAAAAATACTTACAACGGTATGTTATTATTTCATGAAAATTACTATAGTAAAATAAACTTTATTCTTTCTTAAGTTTGATTCTTAAGTTCTAATATTCAAAACGATATATATATATATATATATATATATATAATTTGATAACTAGTCCGGTGAATGATCAAAGCAAACCTCGGAATATGGCAAAGTTGCGCAGTGCTGCCATCTTTTGAGGAGTGAAAAAATTACGTGTTTGTTGTCAACGTGACCTGACGCTGAAAAGAATGTCCTCTTTAATAGGGAGTAAACATTACGGCGAACAGTATGTAGAGAGTTACATTACGGACGCCGGATTTTTTTTTCTCAAATAAAGAATCTGACTGTATAAATTAACGACTAAGTCTCTCAATAATTAGGAAATTTCTTAAAATTAATAAAGGTAAAAATTTCTTCGTATTACTTTTATTAAAAGCCCACATACTGTTCGCCAAATGTATTATATACTATATACAACAAAAATGGTAATTTAAAATCTTATTTTTTTCATATTTCTGCTTCATATAAAATATATTTTTAAACTCATTTTGCTTAATTTCTTATGTGTACACAATAACAAATCGTTATCAAAGCAGAAATGCAAGTAGAATAAGGAATTGATACAATAACTTTATTTGATTCAGTGTCACGTCTGAACCGTTGAATGATTTAATAAGAGTAGATTCATTTGTATTCAGTGTTTCTGCACTGATTTCGTTCTGCCTGAAATATCATTTGCTTTTACGTGGTGCTCTCCTGATTTAATCACTAGACTGTGAATTCGAACTTTAGCTACGCACGGTTCTACAACAGATTTAATGTTCATGCTATGGGACAAAACAGATTTGTNGATATATATATATATATATATACAGTACAGGGGAAAATTAGCAGTCGCCAACAGTCACAGGACAGCGACTGAACATAATAAGATGGCGGTTAAACTTTTTTTCGTTCAAAATTCTCATCTTGTGCATTTCATTATTAGTTTTTTTAAAAATAAATATGAAGATTTTATAACATTTCGAAAATTATTTCATTCTTGTTTCTTAAATTTTCTCTTGTAATGCTAACCATATTTTGAAAAATGCTTCAAAAGACATTCCTTATATTATTGATATCAACAGTCAATTTATTCGTTTCAAATTTTCAGTTCCTTTAAAAAAGGGTCACTGTTAGTAGTTAGTAATGCTAAAACAGGCCCGTGGCTAGTAGCAAAATTTCTTAATTTTGCCCTATAATGCACAACAGTATATAATATTCTGCAGAGCTTACTTCTGTGTCCAATGAATTCGTGATTTACGAAATATCTTTAAACGTCAATAAAAATGCTTTTTAAATGAATAAACAAAATACACACATTCGCATCAGTTAGAAAAAACTTTATCTTTTATCTATTTCATAAAAAAACTTGAGTCAATATAATAACATGCCACACTTTCTCAAAAGTTGTCAATCTTGTATCAAACTGTTCCTTTGTGTTGTTTTTAGATAGATATTTAACAAGTACACAAGTACAATACGCAAAATATTGCTGCTTCATAAAAATAATTAAAACATATAATTTTATAATTTTATGCGCAATTTAAATCTGAAACAAAAAACTTCTAAATCAATCAGTTTTACTTTGTTCCTTATATGCTAATAAACTTATGGTTCTTAATAATTATATTTTTATTTGAAGCTTGAGTTGAAAGATCAAGGTCATAAAAGTGGAGATCAGCAAGCATTTTATGAGCTAGATGACCACATGCGTCATTCTGGTTATTATGAGCCGGTATTCATACTTTTAATTATGCATGTGCCTGAAGCACTAATTACTTTTTTTAAGCCAATTATACTAACCACTTCTCTAAAATCTTATTTTTTAACATATTTCTATCTGATATTTGTCAAAACTAATAGTTATTTGATATACGCATGCTGAAATTGGAGGATAATAAGAACTACAAACGATAAAATATAATATAAAGTTGTTTCGTGGCATTACAGAATAAATGAAATATCACAGTATTAACACCATGAAATTTGCATTAATTCCGGCTATAAATTTTTTTAATTTTTACTAAAATCTAGTTATGCATGTCCAAATGAGGATAGAGTATAGTTTTTTCCCTAAAAAAAACATTCTCTCTCTATATCTATTTGCTGCATATAAATAAAGCCATGCAATGTTAAGAAAGGGTACAAAAAAAGATACATAGTATGCGTATGGAAAAAACTTCTCTCGCCATTTGTCTGGTGCAGTGGCGATGACTTTTGTTACCAAATTTAACTATTTCAGTAGAAATGTTTAATTATTAACCGGTTTTGGTTCGGGTTGTGGTGAGAGGAAAGAAATCTGGTGAGAGAAAAAGGTTCCCTTTTTAAAATGTGCCATTTCTTGTTTCCATAGCAGCAGAATATCTTATACTTTGTGGAGAGGGAAGTTACTTTCTATGGAAAAACTATAGTTTCGTTTTTATGAAGAAGAACCTCCCTCAGTGATGAAACACATGATGACAGAAAAAAACACGAGATAAACAAGTTGAAACTAAGTTGAATGGTTTAAGCAATAGGGAAAGATAAACAAGTCTGAACAGTATTATGAAATAAAAGAAAAGAGATAAATAAGCCTAAACAAAATAATCATCATTTTCTTATCTCCCTTCAACACTGAGGAAGTGATTTACCCACCTTGATCTTCTCTTCCCCTATTGGTTAAACTACTTTTTTCCTTGTTGCAACTTGTTTGCATCGTATTTTCTTCTGTCGCTCTGCGCATCGACACAGAGTAAGGTTCTTGTTTCTGAAACTGTAGTATATACGTTTTTGTCCCATTATCTATGCTCTATTCATGTTTTATTAATGCATGATCAAAGCCATCAAAAATTTGAATGCTTCATTTATTTAAAAAAAAAAATTTGCCCTAGCTGGAGACATTTAGTGATCGTTTCTCTTTTATATCAATTATAAATACATTCACTTATATGAAAATTAGAAAAGTAACTATTTCATGCCAATCATTTCTTTTATATAAAGGTATTTTATAGAAAAGTTTTCTTGATAATAATAAATGAGTTGTGTAGTCTAGAAAATCTATTTCGTGTTATGACATCACAGGTTTTTACTAATAACATTTAAATATCGAACAGGGTAGGGTATATTTTGGGCTACGTATACTAAAGCGAAAAGCAATGTGAATTAAATACAGAAATGGACATACTCTAAATAAGAACACACCTCAGTCAGTATCTGATTTATATTAAGGCCTGAGAGGCCCATGCCTACAGTTCCAACATTTCTGGGAGCCCCCTTAATGTTATAATATTGTTTTTCTGTGTGTGTATTTCTTTTTAAATATTCTGTTAGAAATAGATAGGTTGATAAAAACTGAGACTAATATAAGCTCAAAATTACAAGAACAGTCAAATCTCGTTAATGTCAACTCGAAGGGGGACAAAATGCTAGTTCACGTTAAAAGGCAGTTCACATTATTAGATCGAAACTTTTTTTTAATGAAAATTGCCCGATACGAAGACATTCTCTGTGATCTATATCTAATTGCGCTTTATAAGCATAAATTTCTAATATGAATACGTATATTAATAACCACTATACATATTCTCATGATAAATACAAGTAATTACTTTAAAAAATAAAATGAAAGTTATGAACTTATAATGAAAGAAAAAAAAATTATATAACGAAATTCTAAGAGTAAAATGATTAATTGCATCAATTAGAGAGGATTACTAACAACATAATCGGAACAATATGGGAAGTCATTTTTCTTGAAAACATGTTTCTTAACAGATACCGCCCCCCCCCCCAAATGTGCAAAGGGATTTAACCAATGAGTACAGAGGAACATTTAAATATTTTAAAACTCATTGCAATAACATGTAAATTACATTTAAAGTTTCGACCAGTGGAAGCCCAGACAGTTCTGTGCCTACAGGTTTTGGATTTGTAAATCGGGCGCTGTTCTCAGTGTCTAAACACCAAATGACATTAGAAAAGTAAAGATATAAATTTGTGCAAAGGGATTTAACCAATCAGTACAGAGGAATATTATAAGATTTTAAGACTCATTCCAATAACATATAAATCATATTATGCCTCATTGCAAAGACTATTCGTAGAATAATCTTTCGAGTAATTTATGAATGTATCTTAAGACTGGCTCTAAAGACAGAATATATTCTCTACATTCTTGTTTAACCTTCTGCTTATGGCACTTAGCTCTGCATTCTGGTCCACTTTTTGTACCAGCCGTAAGCCAAAAGTTAATGTCTATAAAGGATGGCTCAAAAGAAATGACAATATACACAGAAGAGCCATTACATTATGACCACCCTGCTAATAACATGTAGTACTACCTTTAGCCCTCAAAACTGCTAGCAACCGCCATGGCATTGATTCCACAAGGTGTTGATAAGTAATCTAAGGTATCTGGTACCAAGCGCTCACCAACTGGCCCTGCAATTCCCTCACATTGCGAGGGGGTAGCGTGGCAGAACGTGGCAGGACCACAAATGCTCTATTGGATTAAGGTCAGGTGAATTTGGGGGCCTAGACATGACTTGAAAGTCACTGGAATGTTCCTCGACGATTCGACCCTTATGACATGGTGCATTATCCTGTTGGTAAACACTATCTCCCGCAGGAAAAACTGTTGCCATGAATGGGTGAACCTGGTCTGCAACTATGTTCAAGTAGCTTACAGACGTCAGGGATTGTTCTATGAGGATTATGGGTTCTAATGTGCCCCATGAAAATATTGTTCCTGTTCGAGAAACCATGAAAACCTGGGCGAGCCCATTGTTATAGATGGAGGGTGGTCATAATGTAATGGCTCTTCGGTGTATATTCACTCTCTTTTCTTTACCCGAAAATTTTAAAGTATTGAAAGTTTACTTAGACTAATTTCCACTTAATAAAAAGTTGAATACCAAAAATTTTCTTACTAGGTCTATTTACATTGAGTTAATATAATATTTTGGTGATTATAAATTAAGCATACCATTTACCATTTGAAGCACCTTTCGAAGCATATGCAGGGTGCTTCGAAACTAATGACCACAACTGTGATAGTAAAAGAAACAACTTTTGTGATTCAATATGGGATTGAATAACTGAGCAAAAGGCTTTATTGCATTATCAATAATGATAATGCAGTAAAGTTGTATTATCAATAATGATAATACAATAAAGTTGTATTATCAATAATGATCATACTATAAAGTTGTATTATCAAAAATGATAATACAATAAAACTGTACCACCTGCTGTGATATTGACTTCATTTCTACGACAGTGTGAATCACATATGACATCTCACTATCATTCGCAACTGATGGTATATTGAAAGGAAATCTATTTAGATGTCTCCAGATAAGGAAACTTAACATTAGACTAGGTCTAATGTAGATTTTGAACAATGTATAAACAAATGCGCACCACTAACAATTTAATTCATTATTTTCAGTGTTCGTTTTAGAATTAAATTAGCAATAAGTAGAAGAAAATCAGAATAAAATGAATTATTAACACAGTTCTTTTTCTGAATGTAGTATGAAAGAGACCAAGCTTTAAAAACTGAAGCAGAGCGAAAGCAGGAACAAGAACGTCTGGCTGCAGAAACCTCTAAAGAAACTGAGAGACCAAGGTACGTATATTAACCTGTTAGCGACAGAATTTTTATTCTGCCAACATTTGCATTTCTTCATTACTGTCTTTCCTAGTGATTACGAAATAATAATTCAAATGATAACTGTTAGCAGAATAATTTTTAATTTCGTCAGCACATGCAAACGTTTCACACAGACCTTTTAGATATATGTTAAAATTGATTCGGCTTATAATGACTAATATTTTATACCTGACTGATTAAGTCAACAAAAAAAAATAATAAAGATAAGGGCATTCATTTTACTACTGCTTTAAATATAAAACTGAAACCTTTTTCGTAAGGAACGGGAAAAGATCGCACCTGTGTCGATTTGAAAATTTCCGTAAAACCTCCATATTGGATGGAAAAAAAATGATCTCTACATTAGCTATTTTAACATAGGTGGGATAGGAAAAATAGAATCCCCTTTAAAATTTTACAAATAAATCTTATAGTTGATTTCATCGTAGAAAATATTTCATAAGCGAAATTCCAATACAATTTTGCCATCCTCTGCAAAATAACGGTATCTCCACTTTTTACCATTGTTAGTTTTCCTCCTTACTGTACATTAATATTTAAAATCCCCTTAACATTGATGCGTTAGATTTGAGCCACGGTGACTCAAGAAATGTAGTGTTTGCCTCTAAATGAAATCACCCAGATTTGAATCTCAGTGGTGGTTGGTGGGCATGAACTCTGCTCCTGGAGCGCCGATGATGAAGGAAAATATCATGGAGCTAGGAGTAAGTGGAGAAGACACTCCCATTAGCCCACTCCTTTCAAGGTGAAGCAACCGCGAGAGTTTTCCGCCATCTTTGTTACTGCGTCGTTGTGCGCTCATACATCTTTCTATTTCTAGTTAATCCATGCTTTTTAACGAAGCTTGGAGGGCGGTTTTGAAGGGTTCTTAATTTGATTTAAAGTGTCGAGTTTAGTCTTTTAAGTTAAATAAGAGATCCATCCATCCAAGCTTTCTCCATTTTTTATTTAGCCGTTAGAATTTTCGTATTTCTAACTTTTAGAAAAAACATTTCAACTTGACAGAATTTTTGAAACAAATGGAATTCTTGGTAAAGTTAATATTAGGTCAAGTTCATTTAACAATCACTATGCACTTTTCAAAACAATTTCAAGAAGATAAAAAAGTTTATTATCTAGAAATTTAAAATTTATATTACTCTGATAGTTTTAATTCATAGGTCCATAAAGTCAGGTAACTAATTATTATATTAGGTAGTTATGAATGTGTCGCATCCATGGAACCTACTCCAAGCTGAATATAGAAATAAATTGAATACCACAATATTGAAAGATGTTTATTGTTAAAGAATGATTTCAGAAAGTGAAATACATAAATTTATACAAATTTCTCTTGCTAAAAATAAATCCATACATATGAAGATTTATACTTTGA